CAGAGGGAAATCAGTAATTGTATTTGGAAGCAAAGTTTAGTACTAGTATATATAGGATCTGATAATTCTTAGTGGAAAGTTTATCGCTCAACGGATAATCCTTGGGGGATAACTGGCTGATGACTTGCTTCCTTTGTTTTGATTTGATTAAATTATGTGACTCGATGCAGAAACATCTTAGTATTTGTATGCCACTCCAGATGATAAAAGAAGTGGGCAATACAATTCCATCTTGGATCCCAATTCCCAGTACTGTACTGACACTACTACTGTACAGCAACTATAAATTATTTGTATACTAAATACTCTTGCGCGAGGCTGTCCTTGACGTAACACAGCGTTCGATATCAATCGACAAACGGATTTGCATGCTTGAGAAAGAGAATACCAAAGCACATGGAAATAAGCGTAAGAAGCAAGTAAATGCACCGTGTGGACCTCGAGTTGGCTTGGTACTTTTCGGCGCGACGCAGTTCTTTCATGCCCATTTCCATCCTGTCCACGACCTGTACAGCTAGTTGAAGGTGTGCACTCGAAATGCTTCAATTGTCTTACCATGTTCATGTTGTAGTCAATACGGTCGACAATCGTGCCTTGGTCTATCACCATGTTCGACAGAGCTTTAAAGACTGACGACAGGTCCACGATTGATTTAGCGATTCGTTGAATCTCCCGCTCCCGCGCAAGTATCGCGTACTCATCTTGGTCGGCTGCAATTGCGAACGACTGCAGATTCGACCGTCGAAATCTCTACGATTGCAATGTAAACTTGGGAAGACGAACAATGCTTCGCCTACATGTGGTCCGTCATCGCTGAGTCCAAACAGTTCGGACTTTTGACGTTGTGTTTGCAGCTCGTTCATGTAGTCCCGCTGAATACTTCGAAAGCGATTTGACATGTCTTGCAACCGTGATGCAAGACACCTCTGAATGTTGACAAATACTTGTGATTCAGCAGCGGTGGAAGCGGATGTAATGCTTCTGGGCAGCCGTTGGAGCGACGACTCGGAATGCCGAAACAGGACTGAAATCTCGCGGGTGAGCAAATCGATCTCGTGATCTTGCTGGGCTTCGGAGTCATCAAAGCGAACCATGAGACGTCTTGTGTGAATTTTCTGGAGAAAATCAACTATGCACGCACAAAGTCAATATGGACGGCGAGAAATTGAGATCACTTTGCCATCGTACTCTTCAAGTTGAGTTGCCTGGTCAGGTCGTTTAACTTTTCCACCGACTCTGCCCAGACTGGTCTTGATTCGTGAGCACGTTCATGGTTGTCAATATCACGAAGTAGTGCCTCATGACCTCGTCGATGGTTCTGCATAGCAACCCATGAGGACATCGATCAGGAGGCAACATTTTGGACAAACCTTTGACGAAGAGTTTAATAGGTGCGACAAGTACGGACTGATGCCGTTGAGTTGCTTTGAGTTCAATTGGTGCTGCTGGTGCCTATTGACATTGCTTCGCTTGGCGTAGAACTTGGACGTGAGATCTCGATACGCCATGATGACAGAATGCCACCGACGAAAGGAACCGCAAGCGGTGAAGCGTTATTTGGAAAGATACAATTTACGGATAATCTCGCAGAGGTTGAAAAGGTTATCCGAATATGTATTTTCTACGCCAAGTGGTAGGTTATGATTGGCCAGCTTCATCACACTTGTGCCTTATATGCAATACACAAACCAAGATAATCAATTCGAACATGTTTTTGCCATGGTGGTTCTGGAAGCAACAGTCTTGGTTTGTGCGGTGAGGTCAGCAGTTGTCATGGTGTCCGCCGTGGAATGGGTCGCGATAGGCGTGTTTGTGTTCGCAGTGTTCTTGGTCTACTGTGCTGTGAAGGCAATGCGACCGAAGAAGGGAGCAGAAGGCGATGACATCTTGGAGGAGATGATCAACGGATTTGACTTCACGTTGCCGCCTCAAATTGAGGAATACCGTGCGTTAAAAGAAAAGGCCCCGGCAGTGTTGGCCGAAGAAGACATGAAGACGTTGTGCTCTGCGTTGTTTCGACGAGCTGTGGCTGACATCCCTCTTATCCGAAGAATACAGACAGAAGCGCAAGGGATGCATCGACTAAAGACGAACGACTTGATTAAGGACGGGTCGTACATGAGCTTCAAATTGGCCGAAGAGATGATTGGCGAAGAAATCAAAGAAGTTCGCGAAGAAGCACAAGCCCTTCAGCCTCAGGACAATTGGGGCGAGAGCATATTCGCCCAAGCTGTTCAATTTATCAACCACATGTCGGAGCAAGAGGAACTGGCAGAACAAAAAAAGAGACAAGCCGAAGTGGATGCCCAACAACAGGCCGCCAAGCAAGCCGAAATGGCCGCGCAGCTGGCAGCTGATTTGCGCAAGCGAAAGTAGGTAGATATCGGATTATGTTTGAATCCACTCTATCGTGTGTTGTGTATTCCTGTGTTCTATATTAGCTTTGAAATGGCTGATTGAACGCTTCCAACAACTGCTGCACCTTTTTGCCCCCAATGCCTGGGCACAGCGCGAGTTCCTCTTCTGTCGCATTCATGATGCGGCTCAGGGACCCAAACGAACCCGACAACGTCAGCACTACTCCAACAACTCGACTGACGCAATTGGTCACATGACGTTTCCCGTACCATCGGTCTTGTTCACTGACCGAACCGTTGTCAACACATCAACCAGCTGCGAGTTGAAATCGCCATCGATTTTCTCCTTGATCAGCGCTGCCGACTTGTTTTCGTACGCCTTTAACGTTTCTATATACCGTGCAGCTTCTGGAGAGAGATTATGTGAGTGTACTGACAAACGAACAAACCTTTCCAACTCCATGCCAAGAGCAGCGTGAACCCTGCACCCAACGCCTCGCAATTGATCTCCTTGAGGGCCGATTCACAATCTGCAACATCCACGTGGCACACCACGACCTGGACTTTTACTCGCGTTGCTCGCGCCAACTTGTTTTTGAGGTAGTGTGGATGCAGCATGTGATATCGCACTGAGATGAAGTACGCTGCGCAAGTGTCGCCCATCATATAATCTGCTGTGACATCAGCATTGACTTCGGGCAACACGTTTTGCATGTGGTTCAGCATGGGATTGCCGCTTTGGCTGGGATGCACGAGCACAACCATCGTTCCTGTCACCTTCTTAACAAGTTGCTCGCGCGGGGGCGGTGCCGTAGCTGTCCCAACGCCTTGAAAGGTGTTGTTGAATGCATCAGCTCTTGTCAGATAGCGTGGCATGTCAGGTTCCCCGATTGCATGCTGTGGTGGTGTTTCGTTGCGAGAATCCAGCTTGCTGCGGGGTATGTCGTCGCTCATTTCGAGAATAGCTATCAATGCGCAAATCACCTGCCACAAAAACCATGCCATTCAAGCGTTTTGATTCGATAAAAGTAAAAAAGCCGCGTTGTGGAGTTAATTGAAGCCGCCTCCGTTGTCCGCGGAAGTTCCAATGTAGCTCTCTTTGCTTTGTTACTCGGCAAGCGTATTGCGCAATCGCAATCTATGAATCCTAGAGGAGGGTATCAAGAATGCCTCTACGCCATATAACAGTTGATTGACCACGCCATGCTTCAAGACGAGGCGTCAACGCCTGCCCAACCCACTTGTGAGCCCGTGCGACTCGCCAATCATGTACCAGAGAGTCGCATAGACTTCACATGTTATCCGGATGCACACATATCATTGCAAAAAAGACTATCACCTCGTTATAATGTCATCTCTGTGAAATTGCAATTAAGGTTCCTATTTTTACCTGGAAATAATGACAACAAAGCAAGCCGTAGCAGGAATTTTGGAATATTATTCGGTGGCTGGAGCACGCCACTGTGACACCACCAACCCGGTTCGAGTCTCTCCCAGTTCATTTTCCACAAGCCCGTTGCGATGTCGTACCTGTCCAAACCGCTAGTCATCGGCGCCGTCACTGCCTCCGTGATCGCTGCGCTCTTCTTCATTTATCAATCGCAAAATGGCAAGCCTGTAATGCCTCCTACGTTTCCTGATCCACGAGAAGCTTCTGATATGTGTTGTAGTCGTCCAAGAACGCCACAACTTCAAAGGAAGCGTCAAGTGAAGCCGCAGACGCATCCTCCTCTGCGGTTTCGAACGCCAGTTTGCCCTCACTGCCTAAGGACCAACTCCTTGCGATTTTGGGCGTGATTTCCACCCAAATGGGCCAAGTTGTCATGTCGTTGGCCGCCATTGAACAAAAGATTCGACAAGAGAGTTCGCAAAGCGGGCGTCGCCTGCCCGAAGATCAATTGGCCGCTTATTTGATGGGCCAGTTCGAAGAAGCAATGAAGGCTATTGAGTCGCAGGTGTACACTAAGTACAACACCAGCGAACAAGACGTGACAGTTGCCTCCGACTACTACGAGTCTATTGAAGACCCTGAAGTCCACGCCGAATTGCGCAAGTTGCGCGAACTTCACAACCTTATCACAGGGTCTGGTGCCGTCGACGTCGAAGTTCCGGAAGACTTGACTTTGGAAAAGTTCTTGGTCATCATGGAAGAAACTATGGAGTCGTTGAACGTGGCGATGGAAGAAGTGTGCCAAGAAGTCAAGTTGCTCGACCCTGTGGACAAGGAAGAAGCTATCAACCAGCGCTACGTGAAGAAGGCGGACCAATTGTCCAACCAGATCCACCAAGAACACGGTTTGTCAAGAGAAGTGCTACAAGCGGCTATGATGAAGTACCAGCAAGAAGCCGCCTTTCTCACTCGCATGGCCGAACTGCAGCGCATCCAAGCTGAACGATTCGCTGCTGCTGGATCCATTTTTGGCGGGGAAGTCAACATGGGACTCACCGAGGAATGATCAGGTAGAACGGTTATGTGGTAGTGCTAAATGATACTGCTTAGAAAAGTTGTCGCTTATATATTTTTCATTTTCTGCAGTGGCCAATGAGAGTTGTATTTTGAAGTTTCCTTGTGATTAAAGGTTAAAAAACTCATGAATTCCAGTGCATAACCAATCAAAATTGCAGATAAAATAAAACAGTATTTAGTGTGATTAGTTGCTGCTGAGGAAGGAAATGACGACACCGTCGTCCACATTAACGCAGCTAGGGAAAGAGTCTCGCGACGTCAGTTCGCTTCATGGCAAGGTTTTAATATGTATGCAGGGCACGCTTGACTGTATTTCTCGATCCAAATATCGCCTGAACAGAAGATTATCCAAACTTTGATATCTGACTTGTAGGCAGTTTTTGAACAATGCTACTGGATGAGTGTAACTACTACTTAAGTACTAATTACTCCACCATCCAGTAAATCCTTATTAGCGTTTAGATGACTCGCCGTGCACGCATCCACAGCTCCATCTGTGCATGCTGAAGAACTTCCTCGGCTACTTTGTTTTTCCCACCTCGCCAAGATGTTCCATGTTGCTCACTCGTGTGGGGACCAACCTTGCAACTTTGTTTTCTTGTCAAACGATCTCCATGTACGTACTGCTCTCCAAGATTTTGCTTAACTGTAAACAAAACTAATGCATTCTGTAGTAGATACTAGTAGTACTCTGCGAAAAGACCATCAAAAACAGACACACGTCAGTGGCTGTACAAGGACGTTTTGGCACCATGTCCCGACGACCAAAGGGCCGCATGAAGGAGAACGTCGCCGGCGAAGTGTACGACTCTAACGCGATTCAACTACCGCGGGGAAATTCCAGCTCGTCCGCCGTCTCGGCGGAACAAAAGGCTCAATTTGACCAAATGACACAAATGATGCGATCCATGGGAATGCCAATTCCGCCAGGCATGACGCCGGAGCGAATGCAACAAGCCATGCAAGCCATGGGCATGGGTGGTATGGGTGGCTTTCCCGGTATGGGCGGGTCCCCAGGAATGCCCGGTGGTGGTATGCCAGGCTTCCCTGGAATGGACATGGACCCGGACGACATGGAAGAATTGATGGGGTTGAACCGTGGACCAGCTGCAATCTTCGGCAACACTTCGCCGAACGTGGACTTTTCTCGATGGTCGACTCTTTACCCGAACTACATCGACTCGTCAAAGACGAACGCCGAGGGACGGCGCATTGCAAAGAACCTTGCGTGCGATAAGCCCCTTGCCGAGGAGATGGGCGAAGTCTGCCGATACTTCCAGCTCATGTATGTCATTGAGGTAAAGTTGACGTCCTGTAATGTGCCCCCATCTAACTCCGCCATGATGTAGCCATATAAGCGGTATTCTCGAGACGCAATTGTTGAAGGCCGTGTACGAGTCAAGCTGACCGAAAACGGTCGGTTTCTCCACAACGAGATCCACACGCGCAAGGACCTGATGCTCAAAATGGGGGAGCTTATTCCGAAGCTGCAAATTCGCACGGAGCGTCTGGCGAAGGAGCTTGAGGCCGCCAAAGCATCGTCAGCAGGACCTTCCTCTGCGACTTCGTCCAGCAGTGTGTCCAAGAAGAAGGGGAAGAAGAAAGGCAAAAGATAAACTACCGCAATACGTGTTCTCATTGAAGAACTAAATCTTGAACACTCTTGATCTACACTTGTAAAGTGCCAGTCAGTTTCGTCGCCCTCGGCCGCGGCCACGCCCCGGCGCAGTAGGACGCGAGAACAGTTTGGGCTGGCCGTCATCGAAGTCGTGCTTGCCTGCCAAATTGGATTGAATTGCGTCGAGGATGTTGAGAGCGTCCGTGACTTCAATCTAGGCTACTGTCACCCAAGCGATGCGAGGGATTCAAAACAAGTTACCGTTGAGTCCACAGTGATTCCACGCCGCTGCAATTCATGCAACAACGATGCCTTTGCCGTTGCGTAGGTCATCTTGAGACGGACGTTAGCTTCTTCCGGGCAAATGTAGAGGAAGACTAATGTACAAAATTACTCATTGGACTTGGAGCATGTGAGGTTTACGTACAGGTGGTGGGGGCGCCGTGATTGAGGCGGTACAATGCAAAAGTCGGAGCCTCGGTGTCAGCCACTTCGTTCACCTGATCCTCGCGAGTAATTGCAATGGATTTGTCCAAGACCACCTCTTCGTTAACGAGGCGCAAGCTGAGCCATCGAGATGCAGTTGTTTCCTTGGTAAAAGCGACCAACTCGGCATTGCATTCTGCAGCCATTCCAAACGGTAGTATGTTCATAGCGCTCGTTTTCACGGACAAATCTCTTTCGAGAAGCGCTTCTTCCTTCAAAAGAATCTCACGATCGCTTAATGGCCCAGTTGTGTTGTGCATCGTCGACTCCAAATCGCGATAGGAGAGCGTTGTCAGGTCAGTCGTGTGCACATCGCCGACGAAATACGCAAGTCCCAACTGTTGCTTGAGGCAGTCCCGCGCTGATGCGTACAACATCTTGTCGCGGACGTGAAGTGTGTCGCACACAGATGCAACCACGATCCACTTGAGTGGGCCGTTGGTGGCTGTAATATGGAAGAGGAGTAGTGAAGGGGTTGAGCATTCCGACTGAATCGAGACCCACTGAGAATCGGCCTTGACCCCTTCTTGGATTTGAAACACCTTGTTCACAACAAGCTGCTCTCCGGTTACCTTGACTTCAATGCAGCGCACAGTATTCTTCTCCTGGGCTTCCTGGAACTGTGTTGCCAGCGCGTCGCATACTCGGAGGATTTGGCTGTTCATGTTGTCTTGCCCAAAAACTGGATGTGCCCTTGCCTGTTATAACAAAAGCAACAAATTGGTCGAGTATACATTATTGTATTGAAAATTCACCGAAAACTAAATTGTAACAATTCAACTGCGCAGTCTTTGAACCCAACATGGGGCCAGGAAAACCAACCGGGCGCCCAGTACGAGGTGGAAGGGAGAGTACACGAAGCGCTGCCAAAGCGGCAGCGCAGAAGATCAATGCGTCTCAAAGTGTGCGCTCTGCTCGAATGAAACGCGTTGTATACGACGAGTCGGATTCGTCAAGTGACCCCGACGAAAAGAAGAAGGACGCAACGTCGGCGAAGGAAGAGTCCGACGCAGAGGAAGAATTGGATGATGCAGAAATGGAAGAAGAAGATGAAGATGATACCGTTCCACAGGAACCACCAGAACCTCCGGCTGAAAACATCTCCGAGATGCAGAATCCGAAGAATGAGGTCGAGAAGGAAATAGCAGAAGACGACGATGACGACGAAGCACATGAAGAAGAAGACGATGAAGACGAGGAGGACATCTTTCAGCTTCTTGAGAGTGCGCAAGACGATGAAACTATCCAGAAACTCATCCAAAATTCGCTCGGCCAACTTGCTCGAGAGGGCAGCAGTCCAAGCAGGGACCTTGTCCTCGCATATGCTGCGAGTGTGAGTGCGAATTCAACTAAGTTTCAGCACCCCTCTACGCTCAAAGCCTTATTACGACTACTCAGGAGTTCGGTTGGTCGGGAGCGGTCGAGCTCGATCGAGAAAAAGTCTTCCAAACCAAAGCCGCCGCGTGACCCAGTCAAACCGGGCGGTATCACATTGACAGCATTGGTGGCAAACCTGCTGGCTGCGATTCTAAAACCTGTTCCACAAGTACAATGGCCAGACGACTGCCTGAAAGTTTTTGTCGACGATTCGCTGCACTCACGAGCGTGGGTTGACCACGATATGTCTGCAGTGTTTGTCAGCATGATCAAAGCCCAGATTCAAAACCATCCGTCGGCCGAGGTGGCGCAACGAGTCATGGAGCACCTGTCGTCGAAAGTGAACGAGATCAAGCGAGGGGGGGTGGTGATGAATAATCCTACCATGGTGAAGAACGTGATGCTCACCTTGATGGACCTGGCACCGCTGCCTCAGGGCCGCCTCATCGCATCGTCCAATTTGGAGTTGTGGTTCCAAAACTCAATCCATAAAACGATTGCTCGAGATTTTCTGTTAAAGATCGTCCGGGTAAGTCCTTTGGCAGCATCATCGGGCCTAACAGGGAGCGTAGTCGTGTACGACTCTCGAAGCCCATGACCTCGAAACAGTCGAGAATCTCCTCAACATGAAGTTTAAGTCGGTGTCGTTCCCCCAACTGAAGACAGAAGTGTTTACGTTGCTCGTGCACCAGCGTCCCGAGTACATTAACATTGCGATCAAAGTCGTCTTGCTCAAAGAACGGTTGGCGGCAACATTGAAGGATGTAGACAACCTTAAGATGATGCCGCTCATATTTCGCGAAACCGTCCAGATCGTTAACGATCGAGATGACAACGAAGAACTGTCGACTTTCAAGCGTGTAGTCGTCCAACACCCCGGTGCAAGAACGAGCAATGCATTAGCCATAGTGCTACAAGAAATGGCTACAGTCTCAAGCAACCTTCCCACACTCAAAAACACCCTTCGAAAGGTCCTGTCCTTTTAAATCTGTGAAGCCGCCTCAACCAAAACATTAGGTCATTCGAAGTTTGGGGCCGGACCAGTTGGACGTACGAGCGTTGTGCCAAGGCTTAATGTCGGTTCCCACGTCAATGCAATCGTTGGATTTCTTCGTCGTGATGGGGGAATTGGTGGCTTTGGTGCTGTTCGTACAAGGTACTGCAGTCCGTAGTCTTCAAGTAAACGTTCAAGAACCTGCTGCCAACTCCCGCTTGAACTTACTCCCTAAAGCATTGGACAAAGGAGTCCGACGCCTGGGGACTGCCCCGTCCAGTAACATCAGTACCAGTGGTATCGTGACGTCGGCGGCGGTGGCTGCAGGGTCTCAGAAGCGGCAGTCTGGTAAAGACACTCAGGAGAAACTACCCATTACCCCCGCTGTCAAGGCCAAAGAAGAACTAGCACAGTTGATTGCTGATGTCCAACGTATGGCTGTTAATTGGTGTCACCAAGTGCAACAGCTTGGTGATCAATTGGGAATACGGTTGTTTAGTGCTGTCATGCGGAAAGTTCTTTTCTTGGACATGCTTGTCGAAATGCAGGTACCGCACATTTATGTCGTTGCTCACTGTGCATTCATATCTGTCCCAAGGCATCAGAGCATGATCGTGGGTGCTTCAACTTTTGCCGAGAAATGCTTCCGTTGCATGAAGACACAATCGTCCGCATCGTTGAAATGACCAACTATGCAAGTCCGGAAGAAACGCTGGAGATCTTAAATATTCTGGAATCGATCGTGGTGCGAGGGGCAGAAGGCCAGATCGCACGGGAATCGTTTTTTCAAACGCAAGCACAGATCGATCAGTATGTGGCTGTTGGTGGCTTGATGGGGCTGCACATGGACCAACTTGAGTTTATCTGTCAGTTGCTGGAAGCCGGGACGGTACGGCCTTCTATCTGAGTGAGATATCATTCGTGCATAGGTGCGTGGACATTTGTACGAAGGAAATGCCGTGTGCTACAGTGAGCTGTTTTGGATCGCTAATTGCGTCTTATTGGTACCGAATTCCCTCAACGCAACGAAGTGCTGATGGTCGTGTTAGGTTTTGATCGCGTTCAACCCTGCGCCGCTGGGTGCCAGCGTGTGGGACGGCGTTCCCACCATGCGCGCTCTAATGCAAATGGTAATTACTGGCCGGTACACGTTTCCGCCTGTCGAACCAGAAGACATCAAACTCTTTGACACGCAACCGCCATCGATGACTCTGTTACAAGCCAACCAAATATTTACCGATCGAGAGCACGCACTTTTCGAAGCGCACAAGTTGCCCATCGACCATTCGTTGATGCTAGTCCAACCGCTTCATAGCACTGCACGTGCCCCACCACTCGAGGTTTTGCGGAAAGTAGAAAATCTGGACAAAAGATTGCGCTTGGGTGTTCGCCTTCGTAAGAGTCGGACCAAGGACTTTTTGATGGACATGGTGGACGTAACTGTATCGGACAAGGCCCCTCACTCGAGCTGGTCGGAAAGCCCTGAGCGGATCTGGTGGATCGTCGAAATCGTTTGCGACGAGAACGATACACTGTCATACCTTCCTCGGCGATGTCTGTGCGAGCTCCTACTCTTGTCTTGTGTAGACGGCAGTGGCGAAAAGTCCAAGTTTATGCACGCGATGCTGCTTCAGCAAGTGCCAACCTTACTTCAACGACTGAAGGTTCGTAATCTTTCACCGGCGATTAAGTTCTAACAGTCTCGTATGCGCAGGAATGCATTGAGCACGACAATACTGACGTGATTACCTTCTTCTTGGACCGGTTGGCGTCGCCAAACGTTGCTACGCGCCAACTTTCGTCTTATATTTTGGATCTCTTGACTCAAGAAGTTACACCAACGTCGCTGTCCAAGTCGGTGCCCCAGATTTCGTTTGCCTGGCTGCCTGGCTTGGTTAAACTCCCAAGCTTTCCCACCCTTCACGAAAAAGTCATAGTTTCCTTGGAAAATTTGCTCAAGTTCGAGTCGTCGGTTGAAGCGCTCAAGTTGTGTCTTGGCGCATTGTACGATATTTTTGCTGATCAGCCCAATTTGCACCTTAATTTGGCGATTGCCATTGGAAATCTGTTGGTACAACGCGCCGCCGTATCAAGACTGCTCCTGGCGGATTCAGTAATCTTTGGACGAATTGTCACTACATTCTGGGCCGCTATTGAGTATCAAGTGGAGCATTCGACGAAGGACCATCCCAGCGACTGGGTCAACGTTGCGGTCGACCCAGATCACCACCATGGAGCGTCTGAGGTTGCATTACCTCCGAGCTTGGTGTCGGGGGGAATTGAATTGCTCTGTTTTTCGTTGCCACCGTCGGTCCCAGTTCCTGAAGCGTTTGATAACTTGGTCGGCTTCTTCTTCCCGTCCAATTCCAACCTCGGTTTGTGGCATCCGACTCAAAATTTCTCGTGCTCGTCGGATCATTTGTTTCGCTTGTCATGCGTCACCAATTCCTACCTTATCGCTGCCGCCATTCGGAAAATGACGTTGGACGTGCTGTGGAGAGTCGGGTTGTCGTATGGTCGTCTACCCACTTGTCTCTTGGCTGTACTGACAGCGTTGCAAGCTGCCACAGTTTCCAGTCCAGATGAATGCTTGGACGCATTGAAGCGTGAAACGGCAAATAGCGATTCTGGTCAAGCATGCGAGGAAGCTTTGGATCACTTGAATATGTACTTCCGCCAAGAAGTGTTTAAAGACCTTTCGTCCAACAAAACCAGCGTCGATGTTCTCGTTTGGCTACGTGGTCAGGTGAACCCATCCCTAGATGCCAGTCGCGGCGGAATCGAAACCAAGCTTCGATTCAGCACCAAAGTGTCCTTATTTAAACGTAACATTTCTCCGAGCATCAGCGCCGCTGTCAAGGTTCCCGACGTTTCGTCACATGCCGCCCCCGTTCCATCAAAGAAAAAAAGTAAGGCTTCCAAAGAACAAACCAACATCGTGTGCCAACATGTTCAAGACAATTCACACCGGCAATCCGTCCTTGAATGGGTTCGCATCGCGTCGATGGGCGAAACAAAGCAACTTGTTGAACTTGGACGCGTCTTGGCCAAGTCGCCCACCGTCGAATTCGTTCAAGTGTTTTTGCACGAAATCGTTGCACTGGGATGTCATGACAGTGTCGGCGTCTTCTTTCAAGCATTTTTGAGTCAGCACACTATCACATCGCTCCTACCTTTTTCGTCTATTGTGCTGGATTCGATCTGGAACCTCATGCCGTGGCATCTCCAAAGTGTATGGCAGCGAATAGTACGACTCATCGTTGCTGAACAAGCCCAGACGTGGCGGCAAACGCAATCGGTCGCCCAGTCGCGTCTTTCGCTTGTACACAACATTGCCTTCAACTTACGACATAATGTGGCTTCAACGATCACTGCTTTGATGAATATTGAAGCCATGTCTGTGGAATCAATGCAAGCCAAAACCCAAGTGGTCGAATATATTTTGATGGTAACAATGGCGGCTCTCCCAACTCAAATGAAGGGAAACTCATTGTTGTGTAGGACCTTTACGCTTCCCGTCCACATTCATTCTCGTTGGTCATGGATGTTTGTGCGCCAGGTTGGCAGGTCGGGGCATCGAAGTTGATTCAAAAGTCGAATTCTCTTGCCGCCAATATCGACCGTTGGCTGCAGGCGAATGACCATGTGGATGCCTTACGTCTCGTAGCAATAAGGCATCCGTTGCTGGTTTCGTCGAGAATCCTCAATATGGCCCTGCTCATGGAAGGCCAATCAACCTTGTTTTTATCGAAATGCTCCTTGGACAACGTAAGTTCATGCCGATTTGTGTCATGCCATTTCATCTACTCATGGTGGTTCTACTATTGTAGTGGTTGACTGCAATCAACTTTGTATTGGAGTGCCTATTTCGCCACCCCGAAATTCTCGTTCATGTGGTTCAGTGCTTCTTGGTCTACCTCGAGCACTCTCACGATGTGTCCAAGTTGCCCACGGCATTACGCATTCTCCGCACGATCGAGGGCATGATTGCCACGGACAGCAGCGCAATGCTTCCATTCTTCACGCCCCACAGCATTCGAATTCGCTGGTACGATTCGGAATGTTGACATGCTGGACTAACATGGTTGAATTGCTACACAGGGCGCACGCTTTGACAAGTTTTGATGCACTAATCCCTGCTGTCGCCAGTGTCATGCACTTTCTTGATGTTCGAGTAGCCAAATACTCCGAAGGACTTGCATGGGCCATTACATCGTCCACAACTCCTTCGGTTGAGGACCAGCTGGAACAGCTCAAGGCATCCTTACCGCAATTTGGTGGATCTGCCAAAGAATTAGTCCTTCCTGCGCTGTTGGAGTATGTCCGCAGCGGAGACATGACGAAGAAGACGGCTGTGCAGATTTGCCAATGCCTGCTCCTCATCCTCCAGAATGACTATACCAGCGCACCACAAGCGACCAAGGCATACTTGACGTGCTTGACGTCACCCAAAGTCGGCATTCGTGAAGCTGCCACGTTTTTCCTGCTCGACTTTCTCGTGTATTGTAGCCCAGCGCAGCACTACACCATGTTGGCGCACTTGTTTATGGAGGACAGTGATGTGGCCAAGAGCAGCATCTCACTGTACTTCAAGAGTGATCTCTTCAAAGCAGAGCACAGTTAAGAAACCTTTGTAATAACCTTCGATCGAGTTCCTAGCAGTCCTAGTGCTCAGTCGACTTTCGCTAGCATGTAGTTGGAGTTGCGTCCTGTCGGAACGTCCTTGCCTTGATAGTATCGGTCGCAGACGTAGCCTCCCGTGGCAAACCCATTCAGATTGTTGCCGCGACGTCCGTTCGGGCCACGGTAGTCCCCGGGACATGGAATACAACTCGAGACACTGCTCAAGCCTTCCGTCATGCTGTACGTCCCATACGGACACGGCGCCGTGCACACCCTGGACGTCATGCCGGTCGATTGCCCGTACGTTCCCTTGGGACATGGCCGGCAGTCGTCGATAGATGTCGCCCCTAGCCTGTCGTTGTACGTGCCTTTTGGACAGAGCGACGTGCAGGTGGGGGTCGTGAGTCCAGGCAGGTTGCCGTACACACCGCGCGGACAGAAGCGGCATTCGGTGATGGTCACCCCACTTCCTGCTGGTCGGTACATGCCGACCGGGCACGGGACGGGGGACGGTTGGATGCCACGGTACATGCGAACTGCATCCAGGGGAAGCGTGAGATGCACACTCGAGGATGGACATCACTCACCCGAGCGCGACGCGATCGCGTCCTTCAACTCGACGTTGTTGGAGAAAACATGGACGCCTAAAGATGTTGATTTGAATTCGACATGTCACTAAATGTGAGCGCTTACTTATCCGCAAGAGGAGGTTGACGACCCCACCGACACCCAAAGCCGCCACAACAGCACGTTGCGCCTGCATTTTTGAAGTGCGCGAGGAATGTTGTAGGCGGGACCAAAAATAGATGTGATGGAGGATGGCATGGCTAAAAACGACTGATGGAATACAGCCAAGTGAAGTGGTTAACGAGGGTACAATACCCTCAAGCTCAGACGCCTGCCGCTACGTCATCGCCACAAGAGGTATGAGGGATGCAGTTGGCCAACCTTCTCTGTGCACCAAATGTGGCGTTGTTGCCTGGAGTCGGTGGAGCAGTGGATCGCACATTCAGACTACTTCGACCGCGTTCAACGCTCCCGACATGCGAGCCAAGGTCGCCATGGACATCAAGTTATTGATTTTTTCAGGCGATCACGATAGAGGACGTCGTTGTGCCATCGATTGGAACGAAGTCGGGTTGCATACCTCCGCACATCCTGCGGAATTCGTCGGGATACCTTCACGCCGAATCGTTCCCATTTGACAGAGCCTTCCCAGCACGCAGCAGTAACAAAAGGCTGCGAACGTAGGCACGTACCTATGGGCACCAGACCTTGCCGTCCGACGCTATTAATACCAACACAAGAGAAATGGACAACGTTCACCACGACGGTTGCAATTGTAGCCGACCAAAGCAACCGCGTGCGCGACGCTACCATTGTACCCATCCTCAAGAGGCAATGGCATACAGACTGACCTGTTGCGAAGTCATAACAGGGAGCTCGATGACACAGTTGCTGTTTGGGAACCGCCCAGTTACGCGTCTCCGGCCAGCCGATTTCGTGCGTCCAACTGCAAAATGCGTGCGACATCGTTTGAAATGTGGCAGTCAGGTGTCGGCTTGGTAACCCAGATCATTTCCTTGACAGGCAGCCTAAGTCCATGTATCGAACCCGATCGAGTGACGCGAGCAAAAGCATTTTGGGCAGTGAAGGTTGACGCTAGTCCATGCCACACTCATACGTTTCCTTGTATTGGTGCCTGCGTTTTATGTCACGACGGGACCAAAGGAGCTTTGATTCAGGTAACCAGCCCCGGCAACCAGCAGCGGTTGCATTCCGCCGACACAACTATGCCATCGAGTCTGTGAGGTGCATGGACGTTTGTGAAATCTCCAACACTGGCGTGCTCCTGTGGACCCTCCCCATAAACACGGGCAAGCACAATTCGTGCAATCACAGCGTGCATCATCATGCCAACTCGTTTTCATGACGAATAATGCAGAAACAACTTTGTCTCGAAAGGTCGAGAGTTTACAAAGGACTTGGTGGAGTCGACATGCATCATCGAAAGACAACGTCACTCTCAATCGACTTTACGTGCGAGGTAGTTGGAGTTGCGTCCTGTTGGAACGTCCTTGCCTTGATAGTATCGGTCGCAGACGTAGCCTCCCGTGGCAAACCCATTCAGATTGTTGCCGCGACGTCCGTTCGGGCCACGGTAGTCCCCGGGACATGGAATACAACTCGAGACACTGCTCAAGCCTTCCGTCATGCTGTACGTCCCATACGGACACGGCGCCGTGCACACCCTGGACGTCATGCCGGTCGATTGCCCGTACGTTCCCTTGGGACATGGCCGGCAGTCGTCGATAGATGTCGCCCCTAGCCTGTCGTTGTACGTGCCTTTTGGACAGAGCGACGTGCAGGTGGGGGTCGTGAGTCCAGGCAGGTTGCCGTACACTCTGCGCGGACAGAAGCGGCATTCGGTGATGGTCACCCCACTTCCTGCTGGTCGGTACATGCCGACCGGGCACGGGACGGGGGACGGTTGGATGCCACGGTACATGCGAACTGCATCCAGGGGAAGCGTGAGATGCACACTCGAGGATGGACATCACTCACCCGAGCGCGACGCGATCGCGCCGTTTAACTCGACGTTGTTGGAGAAAACATGGACGCCTACAATGACTCGATCAAGACGGGATCGAGTGCTTCCATTGCTGTGGTACCCAAGCGATAGATGACGTTGAGCGCCCCCGACATACACAACGTTGCCATGAGCAAACGCGGCATGTCGCAAAATGGCACAAGATGAAGAACGGTTTTCACCGCGGGGATAACAATAGGTGAATTGACGAGTGGTTTCGTGACCGCCAACAAACCTTCGTCATCTCGCCAGCCACCGTATGCACCTTGCACACGCGAGACAAAGACCTTGCTGGATCGATGCAATTGCGCACTGTACTCGTCCCTGTCTCGTTCGACTCGCGTGCGTCGGTGTGGTCGCTAGAAGCCTCCAGTGCTCCTCGAGAAGGATGAACCACCCAACGACATCTCCGCACGACTGGTGGACGTTTCGAGACTCGGGAAAGGCTGCTGCTGTGAAACTTCCAGTGGCGTCGTATTTCGTGTGCAGGCAGATCGAAACATCGAAAGCAAAGACGACGACGTTGGTGGCGTGTGGTCGAGCCCACCGTCGACACTGGGTGAGCCACTCGCGGCGTCAACATGCAAGACAGCATGCATGTATGAATATGTATACCGAAATGTCTCTATGGCATGACCGCAGTCACGTATGCGCCAGTCGCGTAGCTTCCATCGTAGAGGAGCAGGTTGTCCGGGCACAAGTACGGGCTGTCGTTGATGCGTTGGCAAAACGCACTCACGAGCGCATTTTGGTTGACCGCTTGGACCCGTACGAAATATGTTCGTCCGCTGACGAGTCCGTCCGACGCCAGCAAGTACAGGTTGTTGCCTTGCGACGTTTTCGTGTTGGTGCCAGGAAAGTTGGTCGAGAGCGACCACTCGACGACGTAGTTGGTCAAGGGAACCCCGCCAAACACGGCGCTGACACCGAGAATGTTGGGGCACGGTAGCGGCGCGCTGAGGGACCCAAAACACGGAATTCCGTGATCGGGAATGTACGGGGCCTGCCACTGCACGTAAATTCCCGTCGTGGGTGTTGTGACGGCAGCAGCAGTCACGGTGACGGGCTTTCCAGGCCGGACCAAGTCAGGGACTCCCGGAAGTGGTGCCGCGTCTTGCCCAACGCCAGCCCCGAGAGAATTCACGGCAAACACGCGGACGTAATAGGCCGAGAATTGAGTCAAGAGCGAGATCGTGTAAGCTCGTTGCGTGACGTCTGTGACAGCGACCTTGTTCTTGTCAGGAGGCAAGTTTAAGCTGTTGTAGCTGGCCAGGGTATCCCATTCCACAATGTAACCACTGACCGGATCCCCTCCATTGTCGCTCGGAGGCTGCCATGCGACCGTGAGCATGCTTGGAGACGTAATACCCAACACGACGTTTGTCGGAGCGCTCGGGAATGTGTGGGGGTTCAACGATGCGGGCGACGATGCGGCCGCAAGTCCTAGCCATGCCGTCCATATTACCATCCCGACGTCGATATCCTTTCCTACCTGTTCCTTGAGAATTCTGGGCCGCGACTTGAACAAAGTACGATTGCCCCTTTGTGAGGCCAGGAATGAGACAAAAGAACGGCGCGCCACCACTGAGTAACGTGACTTGGGTCGTCGACGGCGACCGGAAATCTGAATAGATCGACCACGTCACTTGATATGCCGTAATGGTGTCGCCGCCGTTGTCGTTGGGCGGACTGAACACCACCTTTAGCGACGACACCGAGTTGACTTGCAAACTCACGCCTGTGGGTAAGCCAGGAACGACCATCGGCTTTTGAGGGTTCGGGGCGAGTTGGGGCAGCGAGAAACCAATCGAGTTGAACGCAGACACACGCACGTAGTACAATTGTCCTTTGGTGAGCGCCCCGACCGCGGGAAGGACCTGCGTTCCAATGCAGCTCGGGTACGTCACTCCAGTCGTCACCTTGGCCGCGGCCACTTGGTAGTCTGTGTTGGCACAGGCATTGCCGGCACAGTTGAGCGATTGCAACGTCGCAATCGGTTCGAAAGCATAGTCGTCGCCACCATCTTGAAACGTGATGCTCCACACATACCCTCCGTCGGCACGTTGGGCAGAACGCGTGACGACGACGCCGCGAATGTCTTGCAGCGCTTGGACTTTGTACTGCATCGACCCCGACAATCCCTGCCGAGTCACGTCGCACGTGTCGGTGCAAGTTGGACAGCTCGTGCAGTACACCAACGACATGGCGGGCTGGGCACCGAGTTCGTCCGAGCCCATCGCGACCGCATTGAACGGAATAGGGTCGGTAGTCATGACCGAGTTGGATCGTGTCAGCTTCAGCCGGAACCACCCCGCCGCGACCGATGCTGGTTGACCGGCATTGACTTTGCTCAACGTAATTCGCCACACCGCGTTGACATTGGCAGTCGAACACCACACGTCCTGACTGGCACGAGTCGAAAACGCGGGCGACGTGTCGTACTCCACCGTGTACTTGAGGATCGGCGACCCACCATCGCTGACTGGTGGCCCCCACGACCCCAACAATTGCGTTGAGATGCCATAGTTTACATCGACGCGCACGTTGGTCGGTGGCGATGGAACTTGCGTCGGTGGAAGGATCGATGCTGGATATGAAGCTGCGCGAGGGCCGAGCCCGATCGCGTTCGAGGCGGTCACGGACGTATAATATGCCGTGCCTGTCTGGAGCCCCGTGATCGTGTACGTCAGCACGTTGGGGACGTTTGTGGTATAGAAACCGTACCCAACCGCTTGTTCACCAATACGCACGTAGGTGTAGATGGTCTGGCAGACCAAGTCCAGCGTCGAGCACCAGGCTCCAGTCGGGAGCACGACGTTGTTTCCGTCGTACACTCTGGCGACTGCCGACGCCGGCATAAGTTTCGTCGCATCCACCGTCAGAGCTGGAACATTGCCGACTACCGAATGAAACGTAATTGCCCACGCAACAGTGTTGGCAGCAAAATTAGCACTCGCGATCGACGTGACCGTGACCCGCCCAACGGAAAAGAGTTGTTGCAGCACATTTTGTACAAAGGTGGCGGATGCCGTTGCCGGAATGAAAGTCGACCACGCCGACCCCATGAAGGACACGCGGAAGAAGCCAGTGATGGTTTGGGTAGGTGTTGCATGCGTTAACGTCAGCACCTGGACCTCGGGCACACCCGGAGACGTTGTTGTCCCTCCTGTGACTCCCGATATGGCCTCAAACACGCGACTTTGAATTCCAGAGCCGCCGGTCGACGAAGCAATCGAGAGTTGCAGCATGGGTTGGTTGCGCAGCGCCGACACAAACGTGATGGACCACTGATACCCTTGGTTGACATTGATTGCTGTCCGAGTGACTTGAACATTTCCAATCGGAAGTACGGCAGGCGTTGTCGTTCCCCCGATATTCATAAGTGCGTTTCGCATGTTCGCGGGGGTCGCGTCGAACGGAATGCCCCCAGAGAGCGCCCCTCCAAATGCCAACGTGAAAGAAAGCGCAGTGGGGGCAGCAGTCCACTTGAGCTCGACCACTTGGACTTCGGGACGCGATGCAGCTGTCCACCACTCGACTTGATAATATCGAAGTGGCAGTCCGCCCAGGGCGGCGGGCGCCGCCCATTGTACTACTGCCGTCGATATCGGAGCTGTCGTGAGCTTTGCTATGGTACTCACGGCAACTTGCGTCGGCGGGCCCGACGTCTGCGTTGGAGCCAAGGTGTTGGTTGCAATGGTGGCTCGACTGTATCCGACACTAGTCTTCGCCTTGACTTGGACAAAATACGGGATCCCGGTGGTTAGCCCTGTGATGTAGTACGTGAAGGGGCCACCTGGATACAGCTGAGCGAACGAAGCAATTGGCACGTCGATAGGGTACGTGCGACCGGGAGAACTGAACGTCGACACAGTGTCGACGTCCAGGGAGTACGCGGTGATGGCGCCGCCACCAAGGCCTTGACCATCTCGCAGCGCGGGCTGGATTTGCACTTCCAGGGACGTTCCTGACACCACGTACAAGTATGCTGAAATGGGAGGGTCCGGAAGGACATTGGAGGTCGTGACAGAGGTGGGGAATGTCCACTTGCGGTTGTCGGGCGGGGAGCCGGACACAGCAATCCTTTGCACGGGCACCGAGTTGACAGCTGCAATTCGAATGTAGTATGTCGTTGACATCGAGAGAGATTGAATCAGGTAGCGATACGGGGGGGTGCCTTGAATCGGCAACCCTGTGAGCACCACAGGAGGAAAGATGTAGAACAGCACGTCGTAAGTCTGAGCCAAAAACGGAGCGCACGAGTTTGGGGCCACACTCACGGATGTCGCCGTGAGAGCTGTGATTGTAAGAACGCAGTTCATGCTGCCGAGGGTCAGCGACTTACCGACTGCAAGTAGTGCAGTCAGGTCGGCCGTGACAGTAACAACCGATCCAGTAAATGCGGTGGCGCACGACCGGCAAGCAGGCAGCCCATGCCTGAACGTGGTGGCTGTGTCCCATTGAAGAATATACGCGGTGATGTCGTTATTGTAAGTCGGCGCGACGCGGGCAGGCGCGAGGTTGGGCGGGGAAAAAAACACTTCGACTTGCGTGCCAGACACGACAACAACGTTGACAGTGTTGGGGGCATCGGGGATTTGTCGAGGCACGGCTTGGATGACAGGTGTACGGGGACTCTTTCCGTTCGAGTTCACGGCATCCGCTTGCAAGAAATATGTTGCTCCCATTGTCAGGACGGGGGCGGTCGCTTGGTCTGGAATGTAGTAGCACTTGCGGCAGGAATTCCCTTGGACGACAACTTGACCATCGAGAGGAGTGAGATTCACTTGGCGTGGTCGCAGCAGGCTCAAAGTTGCCGTCGGGGACAACAGCAGCAAGTCAACTGTCCAAATGTACCCTTTGGCCCATTCGTGGATGGTCACCCCAGTCGCAGTCTCGCCTTGGTAAGCTATCGGGTTGTTGTTCAAGTCGCCCAAGTAGAGCTGCGTTGTGGGCATGTCGGGGGATACAAGGTCGCTTACAACAGTGTACCACGTCCCGCCAATATTCACGGCAGTACCAGGAACTCCGTAGCGCAACGAAGCAAAGTTACACGTTTCGCCGGCCGAACAGGTCACGTAGAGCTGCCCACGTTGGACGTCGACTTTGCCAGCAACAGGCTGAAACGACAAGCTCCGTGACACCGATGCCGTTTGAATCGTTGGCAACGTCTCGAGGGCAATGCGAAGGTCCATCGCTGCCGACTGCGAGTTCAAAGGTGGAGTTGTAGCTCCTTGGAATGCCAAGAAGAACGTGCCACTCATGGCAGTGACCGGATTGACATAGATGCCGGCAGTGGACAGATCGCTTGGAGTGATCACGGGTCCCCCAGAAGGGGTGATGCCGCTACCCAGCGCACCGTACGTACGATGGAATGTGATTGTTACAACTTGAGCAGCGGCAGCCACACAGAGGAATGCTTGGGACGCCGTCGTGACCGTCACGCTCCCTGCTGGCGCCCCCAGCAACGTTTGGAGCCCAGTCGCGACTTCGCTCAAGAGCGTGTTAAATGGAAATGACTTGGTCAGCGTGCTTGCCGTGATTGTCACGGAGCCGACGGTCGCCGCACATGAAAACGCTAATACTTCTTTGCGGTAGTTTGTCACTCCAACTTGCACCGTGGTGACGGCGTTGTTTGTATCCGACGACACGAGCAACGGCTGCGGGCCAAACTGTCCTGTGAACGTCACGGCAAACGATGTCCCGGCAGTGACAACACCGACGAGCGGGCTCACCGCCACCCCACCTTGGATCGTACTCAGTCCATTCAAGATGGTTTGCACCGCGCTGAGCTGCGTCACGCCCACGAGAATATTTGCCGTCGCAACGCCTCGGAACGACAGCGTGAATGACACACTTGCAGCATCCACGGCAATGCTTTGAATGGCCGACTTTAGAGGCAGCACCGTCGACGACCAGGCCAAACTTGGGGCCGTCGAAATGATCTTTTGCCGGGAATACAAAAGCTGGTCGTCCTGGACAACATACCGCTGGGGACTAGCCACAAACGTGTTGGACGTGTCCCATTCAATGCCGTACCCGGAGACTGGGTCTCCGTTGTCGGATGTTGGCGGGTCAAACGACACCCACAGACGATTTCCCGACCCCATGGAACCCTTTTGCTCTTCGCGGACTGTGACAACGGCCCCTGTCGCTTCGAGTTGCACGTTGGTCGGGATCAGTGGCGGTAGGTCGCCCCCCGTCTTGACATCATCAGTGAACGTGATCCACCACTCGAACCCCCCTTCAAAGTCAGGTCCGATGCGGTGAATGTTGAGCGCTCCAATCGTGCTCAACGCCTGCAACTTCTCTTGCATGGACGACCCGTCGCCCACAGCCATTGCCGCCGCATTAAACGCAATCGGCGTGGTCGTTTTGCCGCGAAAGCCGAGCTGGAACGTCCCCCCCAACGCATTCCCGCGCACGGTCTCCACGACTTGAATGGTCGACCCGATACCGTTCAGGAGGTTTGTCGCGAGCAAAACGGGCAACGCGCCTTGGTACGTCAAAAACGAAATCGTCCACGTGTAGCCTCGTTGCCCTGTCGGGCCTGTCCGCGTCACGGCAACCGATCCAAGCCACGACATGTCCTGCAGTGCGTTGGCCATGGTGGTTTCGTCCGCGTCAAACGGAATCGGGTCACTCGCACCGAGCATAAACGACCCGCTCAGGACGTTGCCGTCTATAATGGACTCCACAGAGCACTTGGACCCTGCAACCGCTTGAAACGTGGCGTCCGTGCCACAGATAAACAACGGGACGTCCCCATCTCGCTGATCAAACACAACAGTCCACTTATACCCTCCTCGGCTGTCTTGGAGCGATCTCGACACGTACAGCCCGGACCCGACCATCGGCAACCGCGTGAGGTCAGCTTGCAATTGCGCTGGTGTGCTCGCCGTCGATCGGAATCCCGTGCCATCCACAAATGCGTTTTCATGCACGTACGTGACTATCACGGAAGGGTTGACGCCATTCGTCGTGAGGACGTTGTTCTGGAGTGTTTGAAATGCAGTGCACCCCATGGTCACCGCCATCGCAGCCAAGTGATAGCGTGTTACTCCGTGGCCATAAAAGAACAGGTCGAAAATGTACCCATTCGGAGCGAGGTCGAGATCTTGCATGCGCTCGACGTACACTTTGTCAATGTTTGGCATCGCTTGTAAGATCGATTCGAGGGCGTCCGGCTGTACATTGAACGGGATGCACGCTGACGTTTGCGTTGCCCCAGCATGTGTCAGAGCGAGCTGGAATCCTCCCGTGAACAGCACTTGATCTGCTTTCACAAGCACACGTTGGACCGCTGTGTCAGTCCCCATGGCACTTCGAAAGTTTTGCGTGTGCGACAACGTGTACGCAACCCCACCCATTGTCGTGAACGCCGTGCATGCCGCGCACGCTGGAGTTGTCGTCGTGTCCCGAATGATTAGAGGAAGGACTTCGCCAGCGACTGCATTGCCCACAAACGTAATGGAAAACACATACCCGTAGTTGTACCCAACCAAGGCATCTCCTTCCCGTGTCACAACAATGTCCGCCGCCGTCAGCGCAGTCGTCAAAACGAGGGCGTCCGCGACTTGCTCGGCTGTGGAGCTCCAGCTCAACGCCGCCGTCGAGTACTGCGTGTGCGTGAATGTTCCCGTACCGGACGCGACGGTGTCCGTATACACCAGCTGAAATGTCCCGCCCAGTATTGGGGCGATGGCCGAGATCGTGATGACTTGGACGGTCGGTTGGCGGAACGCCAGATTGCCCGTGAGGCAGTTGGTGCACGGATCGGCAGTGGTAGTTAATGACTGCACCTCTGAAATCACGGCTGCTGCCGTTGTGACCGTTTGGACTTCAAGGACATGGCGCGCGGCGGATTTCACGACCTGGATCTCATTCACAAACAGGTCGTAGCCCGAGAGGAAATTCCGAGGGGACGTCGCAACGCTGCTCGGGATAATCGTGGTTGAGGCTGAAAACACACTTTGCCCGACCGGAGACGTTGCCGACACTTGCATGTAGTACGGAATACCAGGAGTCAAGTCGTTCACTGTGACACTGTTGGAGAGAGAACCAGGGACGAAGTCGTCGAACCCACGAACGGGAAAACCCGCTGAGGATTCCCCGACCAGCGCTGGTACATTGCCAATGTTCGAGTCAAACGCAATCGACCACTGGAACCCATTCGCTTTGTACACGGACAGACCAGTGCCAACGCCAACGAAGGTCGCCGACGTGCTCGAGTCGGAAGCAAGCGCGAGCGGGACAACCGTGGGCGTAAAAAAGTTGGTGGCCGATCCAGCTCGAATGTTGGTGATCTCCACGGTAGCCGTGACGAACGTATTCGTTTGCGTCAACGCGCCCAACGTGCCGAGCGACTGCAAGTAGTAGATCGTATAGACAAATCCGCCCGGAGCTAGTGTCGGGTCTGGTCTCCGCGTGACGGAGACGCCGCCGACGACGCCGAGCCCTGTTCCAAATGCAACCTCCATCTCCGTGTCTTGCGCATTCCACAACACTTGTGTGTTGACTCCTCCCAGCGTCAGCGTGTACGTCCCAGGAGCAGCGATGTCGTTGTTTGGGTTCGACACAATGATCTGATCAACTTGAAACTTCTCGTCCAGGACGCGGAACGTCTGCGACACGGCATACGCCACAATCGAGCCGAGTTGGTCGCCAGCATACTTGGTTGTCAACGCAATCATGTTGCCAGTGCCACCGCCATCCCGTGCTGTCACGACAATCACGGACGATGTTGTTGGGAACGCCGTGCATCCGGTGAACACCACCGAAATGGGTTCGACGTTTCCAGCAACGGCATCGCCAACAAATGTCACGCGATTTACGAATCCATTTGAAGCTCGAAGAGGTGGAGAGTCTTGGAATACCACCACGCCACCTGCACCGATGGTGGACAATCCATTGAGCGCAGTTTGAATCACAGACCCCGCCGCATTAAACGCAATGCACGTGGCCGTAGTGGCACCCATGTAACTCAATTTGAACGTCGGAGCGCCTGGGATGGCCGCTGTTGTGTCTTGAACAATCAGCTCTTGCACTTCCGGACTTCCACCCGTGTTTACGACTTGAAGCTCAACTCGCTGCGAGCTACCTCCGACTTGGGTCCACAGCGCAGTACAAGTTCCTGCTTGCACGATCGTCAATGGAGCCACATACCCAAACGATTTCCCAACAAAGTAAATGTCGTAGCTGTAGCCGGGAGAGCCCGCGCGAACCGTTTTGACTTGAACGGAAGGGACACCAGTGACGAGAGGAGCGCACGAGCCCGTACCGACCGAAAAGATCTCGAGTTGGTTCACGTTCCCCAACACGTTGCTAGTTCCAACGCGCAAATTGCCGGAAAACGCAATCTGGTACTTGAAGCCGTACCCCCACGCGGCCGTCCCATCGCCCGTTCTGGTCACGACAATATGGCCGGTCATGACATTGGCCAACCCATTCAAAGCCGATTGTAGCGCAGACGCGGACAAGCCAAACTCCAAACATCCCGTTGTTGCCGTCACACCGTTGTTTGTGAAGGCCAGTCGAAACAGGCCCTGCGCGCCATTGACGACGGGAGAGTTGGACGTAAGGACGAGCTGTTGAATTTCCGTCACGGACGCGCCGCTGCCATGCCGTGCCACGACCACGGAATCCGAAAGGACTGCATTCAGTGCATCCTGGACCGCATCGCCCGAGTCCCCCCACTTGAGGCACGCGGTTGTCGCTGCGCCAAGTTGAAGCTTGTAATACCTATCCATGCACAGTTCAGTGCGAGAATTGAAAATGGCAACGCAACGTACCCAGCATTGTCGACAATGTTGCCCGAGTCTGTCGACAGCATCACTCGTTGGTGGGCAACATGACCACCTTGAACGATCGTTGCAGCAGTAGCGGTAGCACCGGTCAGAGCTGTGCAGCCCGTGGTCGATACTGTGAGCGCAGGGACGTCCCCCAAGACAGCAGATCCCACAAAGTAGATCGAATACACATAACTGGAATCTGCACCGTCGACCTTCACAGCGCTCTGTGTGACGGTGATCGAGTTGGCTGGTGCAGTCGCATCCATTGCCGTGACCAGTCCACTCAAGACCGCCCCCAAGTTGGTCATGTCGACCGGCAAGCACGCGGATGTGGCGGTATTGCTTCGATATTGTAACGTGAGCTTGAAAAACGGTACAGCACGATTGAGAGCTGTCCACGAAGCAGTCGGAAGGGATGTTGTGACTGTTTGGATTTCAACACCAGTCCGCGCAACGGTGTAGATGGAACCTCCAACGCGTAGCTGATGGCCTGTATACACAGTCGACGTTAAGAGGGTGTCCGATACAACCACGGGGGACAAGTCGCCGACTCGAACTCGCGACGACGCGAGTGCACCGGCCACAGGTACGTCGCCATTGCTACCGACCAACGCATTGGCAGTCGCAGGTCCAAACCGAATCAAGTCCCCAGGCGTAAAATATTGTCGAATATCCACACCCGCAATGGTTGCCGTCGTTGCGTCTTGCGCAATTGTCGCCGTTGCGCCTGCAACGGCATAAAACGATAGAAAATCTTGCGTTGTCGTGACATGGCTGATGTCTGGAAGTGTTTCCAGAGCTTGCATTACCATCGCCGCGGACGCGGCGTAGGCAATCGGTGGAGTCGCCGTGCCCATGTGGGTCAGCGTGAACGATCCCGTCAGAGGGGATGCTCCTTGCTGGATTGTATACATATCGACTGACTTGGCCGCTCCCTGCAGGCTCGACATCGTCACCGTCAACGTGTTCATGTTGCCTGTTCCTGGAGGGAACGTGAACCCAGAAAAGTCCCCCGGGTTCTTTAAAAATCGGACACGCCACCGGTAACCTCCTCGAGTTCTGTCGTTGGCGACGGGGAGATTGTCCCATCCACCAGCACAAGTTGACTGCGAGCATCCCGTGGTCGACGATGGAATCATGAATTTCGTCACACGCACAATCCCGAGAGTGTTCATTTCGTCCAGCATGCGCTCGAGGCGCTCTTGCGTTGAGTCAAAATGCACGACACGGGGGCCATGCACCGAGTGGTAATCGACGGTAAAGTCGCCGCTCAATGGAGCCGACCCCGCCTGTGTTTCCATGACGGTGACGGTGCAAGCACACGTCGGTGCGGTTAGGAATTGGACATCCATGGCGTTGATGTCCCCAGCACCTGGCGGGGTCATCCCTGGATTCGAAATGAACCGAATGAGCCACGACACGGCGCCATACTTGCCCAGCACGGTCTTTTGGACACTAACTCGTCGACCCACGGCCCAAATCCCAGTTTCGATCGCGGCATTCGAAGCAGCTTGCACCACTCGCAGCACTTGATTCTCTTGCGCGTTCCAAGGAAGGACCATCGTCAAGGGAAACGGACCACCGGTCAGCGCAGTTTGCATAGCGACGCACACTTCGTTCACGACGTCGACGTACGTCGTGGTCACCGACAACACCGTAAACACACATGAGCTGTACCCACCAAGGTAGAACCGATCCCCTGCCAGGAGCGTTGTAGCCAAGCCGGCAGCAGGGGTATTCAGCACAAACCCGCCGACGACAGCCGCACAAGTCGACCCGCCCGTCGCCCCTTCACACGTCACGTCCAAAATATAGCGATGTTCGACGCCAGGATCCCCCGTAACTTTGAACACGCTAAAGTCGCTGCGAAGAATCACGCCGTCGACGTTGACACCGCAATTCGTTGTCGACGCTTCGCAAATCGAGATGGTCGGGTTGGTCGCAACCAAGTTATTTGTAAACACGGTCAGTGGGGGCACGTTGCCGGGGGAGTTGCATTGCCCCGTCAATGAATCGTACTCGACGCAAGGCTCCTTATCGTTCAAAAACGTAATCGTCCACGAATACCCCCCCGTCAAAACGTCCACGGGGCCTCTCGTCACGGCGACGTTGCCAATGTTCAACATGCCTTCGAGGATTTCCTCCATGGACGTTCCACCCGATCGACTTTGCACGGCGGTCCCCCACGCGTTGTGCGCGATCGCCACGCTCTGTGCAATCCCTTGCTTCATGTGAGGGTTCGATCCAGAGTTGAGTTCGAGTCGAAATGTGCCCTTGAGAGGGCCGACACCTGGCGTGACCGTCGATACAGAACACGTAGCACTCCCGTCGTTTGCTGTGCTGGTCAATCCTTGCGGCAAGCATGCCATTTGAAGCCCCATGGCCGTCAACGGACCAACTTGGCGGCCCCATGCTTTGGAATACCCAGTTTCCCACACATCCGTCCACGTGGCGGGAGGTCCAATCCAGTTGCCAGGGGTGAACACGCTGTGGTCAGAGGTCGGGTCCTTCCACACGGACGACCGGAACGTGATCGACCACATGTAGCTCAATACTTGGGACGCCGCATCGGCGACGCCCGTCGATGGCCCGTACGGCCCGGTACGAGAGACAACGACCTTGGAAGGGCGAATCGAATCCAAACTGTTGATTTGCTCGGCCACTTCAGCGTCCGTCGCTGAAAACAGAATCGGACCGGTGGTTTGTCCGTTGAACTGGAGTTGGAACGTGCCACTGAGTTGGTTTCCTTTGATTAATTCGTTGTTCGTGATGGTAGCACCCGAGCCTGTGAGCGCTCGCGACGCAATCACGAGCGGCGCGACGTCACCACCAGTGTCCTTGTCCACGAACGTGATGAACCACGTAAACCCTCGCGCTTGTGTCGGCAGCGACCGGAACACCGAGATGGACGCGAACCCAAACTGGGTTTTCAGGTACGTTTCCAGCTGCGTGTCGGGATTTGTTGGGCCAGTCGTCAAGCTCGTGATGTCCGTGTTGGTCCCAATCACACACGGGGCGGCTGCGGGCACGCCATTGTACGAAAGAACAAAACTCCCTCCAACCTGGTTGCCATGCACACTGCCTGCTGGGGGCGTGAGCAAGTTGCTCCCGTCTTCGACAAGGATGACGGGGAGCGGCGTCGCGCCTTGGGCATTCAAGAGAAGGGTATCGTCGAACGTCATCGTCGGGACGTCCCATCCGCGCGAAAGGAACGTGATTTGCCACGTGTATCCACCATACCACCGCGACGACCCCGTGATGGGAAACGCATTTCTCGTCACGGCGACTGTGCCAAAGACCCATTCCGCGGCAGTGCCCACCGCCTGCAGTGCCGTCGTCATGTCCGCCTCTGACACGTCAAATGGCAGCGCCGCCGTCGGAAACACGACACCGTCCGACATCCGCGCCAGTGACAGCACAAACGTCCCGTAGATCATGCTCCCGACCGTCGTTCGAGCCACCGTACAACTTCGTGTGCCGCTTGAGATTACCATCGTCGTCACATCGCACGTCAAGAGCGGAATCGTGCCAGTGTGGCTCGTAAACGTCACATCGTACGTCGACCCAACAAACGTGCTGGTCACGACCGTGTTGCGCACGACTGTGACCGATTTACCAAGCGTGTTGAGGAACTGACCGGCCACGACCGTGTCGTCTTCGGGGTACTCGACGCTGCCAGATCCTTGGCGCATGACCAAGTTGGTGATTGCTGGATACACTTTGGCCACGTACACAGGGAGGGCTTTGCCGGAAAATTGGGAGCAGTACTGCCCCACGTTTGTCGTGTCAACTGTCAGCTTGGTCGCGGTGCTGCCCGATATCCCGTACACACACGGACCGATCTGAAGCACAGCACCGGCCGCCACCGTCGCAGTCAAATCCACGTTCACCGTGATGTCCGTGCCGTCAAACGCGGTCGCGCAAGTTGCGCAGAGTTGGGTCGTGGGTTGACATCCCGCGCTAATTCCGGCAAAGAGGCCGATCTTTTGCGTCGGGTCCGAGTACTGCTCGCATGTGTAGTACAACTTGAACTGGGACGCAGCGTTGTACATAGGCTGGCTCCCCGCCGTGTCTTCGGTCGCCACGGTTTGGACGCTCGTGAGGGCAATCAACGGCCCGAGCGTGCTTTGCAACGTTAGCGACGGCACGTTGCCTGCGGCTTTCAGCCCGGAAAATGTCACAGTGAACACCATCGTCAACGTGTTGGCCACGTTGTCGACGGTGGTCGCTCGGGTCACCGTGACAACTCCAACGTTGGCCAGCGATCCCAACAGCGTCACTAAAGTCGCGGCGCCGGCTGTGTCGCTCGTATCCGTCACGGCAGTCGTGACCGTCACGGTTTGGAGGACCATCTTGACCGCGCAAAAGGTACACAAGGTTGAGTCAAACCCCAGGATGAGGTTTCCTGTGATGCTGGCAGGCGTGGTAATGCCTGTAAACCCGAGCGAAAACGACTGCACTTCGAACACGCGAACGACGCCGACCGTGACCGTTTGGACTTCGGCCGTGTTGACGAGCGTCGTCCGGACTGCCTGGATTTCGTTCACGTCCGTGCCATCGAGCACAATCGTTTGAACTTCGTTTCGGTCCGTCGCTGTCGTCGTGACGGTTTGTACTTCGTCGACAACGTTCGCGCAAGACGTGGTGATCACTTGAACTTCATCGACGCCAGCGACGGTAGTTCGCACAGTCTGGCGCTCGTTCGTCACTTGCACCGTCGCCTCGATGTTTTGCTCCTCACTGATCGGGTCGGTCGCAAGCCACACATTTTGAATCTCGTGGACGAGTGGAATGTCCACGGATTGCATCGACCCGCTCATGTAGTCGCTTTGTTGGTCGTACTGAAACGTGTATTTCTTCAACGACGTGCCCCCATCGTACTTGGGTGTGGTCCACTCCCCCAATACGGACGTTGCGCTCACGTCGGTCAGCTGGAGGTCTTGCGGCACCCATGGCAATTGATTCGACAACGGAAGGGACGACGGCACCGTCGCGGCAGTTGGGCTGGCTCCGAGCCCGTTGAATGCCGTGACGCGGACAAAGTAGACTCCGTCGGGAGTCAACACCGAGGACTGGACCCCCGTCAGGACATTGCGCCCTCCAATAACATACTCGGACTGATCGCCCGACACCATTGCGTACGCCGCGGGCGAGTCAAACGTTGCCGATGTGTCCCACTCGACCATGTACTGCGTGATGGGCAGCCCTCCGGACCCACCAAACACAGCCAGGGCGTTCGATGGAGGCTGCCACGACACCAAATACCCCGTCGAGCTCAGCACGACAAGTTTGGGCGACTGTGGAGCACCGGGTGGCATGTTGATGGGCTGCAAAGATGACGGAATCGATGCACCGGGAGCACTCACGCCTCGGTCATTGACGGCAAAGACCCGTACAAAGTAAGTACCGCTTACCCGGACGGGAATGTTAAAGTAGTAGGGCCCGACGTTCCCGGCAGGGACCGTGAAAACGTTAAAGTAGTCGAACCCGGGGCTCCCAACATTGGCAAACGTTGCCGACGTATCCCATTCAATGCGGTACGATGCCACCAACGACCCGCCTGACAACAACGGCGACGTCCACACAACCTTGAGCATGGTGCTCGAGAGACTCATGAGCTGGACGTTCCGAGGGACGGACGGCACGCCACGGGGTATTTCGTACTGGGGCTGGCCCCACGACGCTTGGCCCCACCCTTCGATCGTATGCGCACGGACACGGGTCATGTACGGGACACCTGTCGCTAGCTGTGGAATCAAGTCGGACAACGTTTGAGCAGACGACACGCCATGGCAAGTGCTTGCAACGCCATTTGCTTCGCAGTACAGTGTCGGAGGCGTGCCCGGTTGAGTTATGGATGCGGCGATGGCGACACTGGGGCCGGTCAACCCGTCGCCATTTGGTACGATCACCTGAACGTCGGTGGCCGACTCACTCAAAAACTTGACGAACCAGTTGAACCCGTATCCGTTAACGCTGCGAGCGACGTCGACAATCGAGACGGTCGAAAGCGATTCCAGCGCTGCTTTCATGCCTTCCCCAGAAATGTCAAACGGAAGCGGCGGCGTCTCCTCCGACATGACGACGCCATTGACGGCCAACGGCACCGTGAGGCGGAACGAACCTCCGATGGGGGCAATGCCATCTTGAACTGTCGAAACGTAAATGCCGGGGGCGCTGCCTCCCCAATTGTCGCTGGGGCTCACAACCAGCGGAGGTACGTCGCCGACATGCATCGGCCCAAACGTAATGGTCCATTGATACCCGTTTGCGCTTCGGAACACTTGGACAGGAACCGTGGTGGTGGCAGCATCGGCATTCAACGTGATCGTGGTGCCTCCAGCTGCCAGAGCGGTGATAGTGCGTGACTGGCCGGCAATGACCAGCGCGTTACCCACGGCAAACCCGCAGCAAGTCGCAACATCCGTGATGGGGGCTTGCGCGATGGCAGTCGTCGTTGTCGCGAGCATGACATATAGGTTTGGAACCGTCCGGAGCGATGTCGTTCGAGTGACATAGACTGTTCCGAGGGACGGAATGCGCTCGAGCTTTTCTTTGACCGATCCTGCCCCAGTCGCCAATGCATTCCACGCAATGTTGGCTGTCGTGTAGCCCTTGTACGTGAGCTTGAAGAACCCGCCCAAACTCGGCGTGCTTGCAAAACTAGTGACTTGCTGCACTTCTTGGATGCCACGGGTTGCCGACGTCGTGATGGTTTGCTCGACAGGGAGGCCAGGCGCTCGAAACCATTCGACTTTGTACTGGTCGATAGCGGCCCCACCGGTCACGCTCGGCGGACCCCATGCGACATTGAGGGTCGTGCTATCTTGCACAGTCGTCATGACGTTGGATGGAGGGCCGGGCTGGGTCCGAGGGACTCCTGCTGCGAACGGCGACGAATTCGAACCAAACCCTTGCGAATTGTACGCCATCACGCGAACGTAGTACTTGGTGCCAGTAACAAGACCGGTCGCGCGGAATTGAAATGGGTTCGTGCCCTTGACCTTCTCGGCCACGGCGACCCGGCCCAACGTCCCGCTCGTGAACGCCGTCGACTCGACAATCATGCGGAAAATGTTGCCAGATCCCACCAAAACGTCGCTCTCGACATGGGCAAACGTAACAGACCACACCGCGGTATGGAGCGTGGAGCTGACGACAGTTTTCGTCACCTTGGCCGAATAAATCGTAGTCAACCCTTCCAGGGCGCGCTGTACTTCCAGTGCACTCGCCGTGACCGAGATGGGTGTCGTCGAGACGCCGTGAAAGGACAACACAAACGTCCCTGCCAGTGGCGACGCGGACGTCGTGTAAATATCTTGGACTTCGTACGTGAAGCTTCCCGGCACGATGTCTTGAACCCCCTGGGTGATTTCCCGCACCTCTACTTGCGGAAAATCGCCCTGGACCATGCTGTAGTCAACGCCGAGCCGGGCGAGGTTGCCCAAGTTCGCCAGGAATGTAATTTTCCACGAGTAGCCCCATCCCACGGCATTGCGCATGACTTTAATCGGTGTGCCGTCCGTTTTGACGTTGCCTGTGATGGACGTCAACTCGGCCGTCATTTGAGCGGCAGTGCATGCGACCGGCAACGGGTTGGTGGTGAACCCTCCAAACGACAGCGTGAATGTCCCTCCTTGTCCCACCGCGCTAGAACACGCCAAAGCAGATGAGATGCCGACGACAAGACGAACTGGTTTACCTGCGAAAGCTCGAAACCACCTCCTGCACTTCAAACTTTTGCTCGACTATCTGGTAATGGAAATCTGGCCCGGTGCTGTCAAATTCGGAGGATGCGTCCCACTCGATGCGATACATGTTGATGGAGGCTCCTCCGTTGTACTTGGGAGCTGCATACGTCACGCCAAGCCAGTCGGCGCCGTGTGAATTGCCAAATGTGACGCCACGTGGGGGCGACGGGAGCACAGCTGTCATGGACGTCGACGCGGTCGTCACAGCGCTCGACACCCCAAACCCCGCTTCGTTCTTCGCGACGATTCGAAGGGTGTACGGGGTCGCAGCACCGAGACTCATGTAATGGGGCCAGCTCGGTGTGAATGGGAACGTAGGCTGCATAACGTTGTGGACAATCGAAACCTGCGTCGCATCACCGCCCGCGCCGACTTGAAACGCAGACGTGAGGATGGGCGGATACCGAATGTTGTAATTCGTGCCCCAGAACGTCAGCGTGTGCACAAACCCGTTGGCCACGGGCAGAGAGGACACAGACACGCCGTCGATGACGGTGAGGAGTTCGAGCGCTGCCTTGATCGCTGCAGGGGCGGCACCCCACGCAATAGGGGCTGTGGTTTCTCCACGAAACGAAAGCGTGTAGGTCCCACCCGTTCCCACCGCACCTGCAGTGGCTGCGGACAGCTTGATCGTTTGAATCTGCGATGGATTGCCCAGCGTGAACGTGTATGGCTGGACCATTTGCGGGCGTATTGTTTTCAATCGCGGGGAATATCCACTCCAGTCTGGATTTGGAATCGCGTCGATCGTCGAGAGACTTGTCGAAATCGCCTTGAACACGATCGGATATCGGTATCCGCCGCCACTGACCCGCAACTTGGCCATAAAAATCTCTTCCTTGAGCACCCCTGTGAACGTCAGTCGCCTCGTTGTCGACGTCACGACCACAAACTCGCTGTTCGACCCATCCGACCAGGTGTACCAAAATTTGTCTCCAGCAATCAATCCCAAGTCGGACGAGGTCAAGAGAGTGTTCGGAAAGCCATGAACCACCGGAACAGACCCCACGACGGCCGGACCGGCGTAGTTGGACGCAAGGGTCACCGTCACACCATCGCCGTTCACAGCAGCTACAGAATAACTCGCGCCTCCAATCGAGACGACGCTGTTCGTGACCCATCCATGACCAGCCGCCAGGACAATGGTTGGCGACCCAACCGTAGCGGTAGTGACGACAGCGGCAGGGGCTATTGTCGAGACAACCCCATCCGCAAATGTCGTCGACGTTAACAGCATTCCGACGAACGCATTCACATTCGTGGCCCCCGCCACCATGTTTTGATCCAATTGGATGTCGCCGGCCGACACCCCCACGACCACGCGATCTTCGACTCCAACTGAGATCGAGTCGCCAATTGCAATAAACAAACTCGGATCGATGGGCGCGCCTTTGTACTTGACCGCCGTCAGCACGTTCGACCCAGCCACGGCCGTGACAGTCAGCGCGAGGCGAGTAAAGCCAACTTGGTTTGAATCGGTTGCAACGTTGGCAACAGGCATCACTGTATAGACGGAATGGAGGCTTTCCAGCGCCTGGATGACTTTGCCCATGGTCGCGGCGCATCCGATCGCCCCCGTCACTTCGCCGCCGAGGGCAATCGTAAAAGACCCACGAAGCGAGTCGGCCTGCGACGTGGACACGAACTCGACCGCTGGGAAGCGGTTGATCTCCGAGTTGACGCCCGTCACAAACGAATCGTCCACCACAAACACGTCAATGGCTTCGTCGGTGGGAGCGGAGAACGTAATCTGCCAGGCACGTCCGAATGCGTTGTGCCGGTTCATGGTCACATCGACTTTCGTCGACGCTGGCATCAGCGCTTGGATCGCCGACCGCATCGCGTTTACCGACGTCGACGCAACCCCCAACGGAGGAGTCACCTGTCCTCGATACGATAGCGTGAATGTACCGCCCATGGCTGACTCGGCATCGGCAATCACAGTTTGTACTTCAGGACTGCCTTCGGCGCACGCGCCTTCATACTTGATCGTTTGGACACGAGGCCGAACTGGCACCGACGGCACAAACGCCGTGCACGGCGCAGTCCCAGCCGTCGTCACCCTCAACGTAGGCCACTCGCCGGACGAGTGGTCGCCATGGAACACGATTCGAAAGGCCTTCATGTCAAATATCGCCAATGTTCGGGCTTCCCCACTGAAAGACGCGCACGTGGTCGTGGTGGGGTTGACCAGCGTTACAGAAATGGTCACGTCGTTCAAGGCGGCGGCAGCGCCAACGGAAAAGTCACAATAATCTTGATAGACATCCCATGGACTCTTGGCAACTCGGACAAGCGCCCCGACAGCCAGAGCGTCGGCTTGTGCTTGGGTGAGACCAGGGCCGCCCGTGCTCACGACAGTCAGGAGACCGGCAACGCTGTCGTACGTGGTTACTTTCGATACCGCCGAGCCGGGAAGGAGCATCGTCTTGAATCGGACATGCTCCTCCACGGACACTGTGTTGACACCATCGAGCGCTTCAAGGCGCGACTTTACAGACGCAGGGGTACCGCTGGCTGGAGCGTCGAACGCAATGCATGCGGTGGTTTCTTGTCCCAGTGAAAGTGCAAACGACCCGCCCGTGATCGTTGTCGACGCGAAAAACTGAACCACCTGCGTCTGGGATGACATCCCGACAACGTACGTGTCGCACCATGGCTCGGCACTTAGCTCCAGCAGCGTGTAATGCGCAGGTTTAGCAGGGGATGTCAAGGTGGTGATGCCGTAGGAAGCAATCAAGCTGCCTGAACCAGCCACCGAGGCTAGCGTCGACGACGTGATCGCCCATTTGTTGGCCGTGAGCATGTCGATGCCAAACGGTTCGTCCGTGAACGTGACTTGCCAGCGATACCCAAACGAGCCAGGCAATGTCCCAGAGACATCCATGCGTAGCATCGAGTGCATCCCCGCAGCAAAGCTGTTGGTGGCCGCAACAAGCGGAGTGACTTTGACGGACGTGCCTCCCACGGACGGGGCGACCGCAACTGTAAACTCGGCTTGGTTCACGAGCACACGCGCACCCACGGGTAAAAGCAAAACGTGCGCTTGTGTCAAGGCCGTGGTCGTCAGCGTCGTCAGCGTCGAGGAATACGCCGTCACTTGACTCGCAACAGTTCCAAGTAACACGTACAGCGATCGAGTCACTGTAACCGGTCGAAGGTTTGGCAGATGGTTGATGGCCGTTTGAACGGCTGAGGCAGACGCATCTCCCGGCAGGAACTGGGTCGTGCGCCCGCCATAAGTCAACTGGAAAGTGCCGTACGTGTCGTTCGGGATCGGGTTGGTCACGTCGATCGCAATGACATGTGGGGTCCCGAATGCGGCATCCGTGGTCGCTTCCAAGCGAAACGTCTTTAGTTTGCCCCCCGCCGCGTCGTTGGGGGCAAAGGAAATCCCCAATTGCGAAAACGACACGGGCCATATCGTCGACAGCGTCGGAGCCGCTGGGACATCAAACAACGTTGTCATCAAGCTGGACGCCCCACGACCATACTGCTGCATCGTGTCGGAGCCAGACCCGTAGCCCTTGGCATTTTTGGCAAATGCACGGACTACCAGGGCCGTGGTGGTTGGAAGGCCAGAGAGAACGGCTTCAAATTGTGGCGCCACACCTTTCGTGACTTCACCCACATCCACGGCGGCATTCGTGCCGACGAGTAACCCGCCATTCACACTCAACAGCGGCAGATCCCCCATGTTCGAAGTGAACGTGACCAACCACTTGAATCCATTCGGGATGGCCATGCGCGAGACGATTACACTCCCGATTGTAGGCAAGGATTGCAGCTTGGTCGTCATGTCGTCGGCAGTGTCGTCGTACTTGATGAGAACGCCCAGAGAGGCGGGCGATTGATAGTATGCTTGAAAATCGACGTAAAAGTAACCACCGAGCGGAACGATCGCGTCAGTGGCAGCGGTCACAGTAATCGACTGAACTTCCAAGACTGCTCCGCTAATCTCCGTCGACGCAAGCACGCGAGAGTAATCCGGAAGCACACCGACCCTGACACGCACAATGGACGCACTGCATGTCGGGCATGCCGCGCCGACCTCGTTGACCAAGCGAGCATCCAGACGAAGACACGGCGACTGGGGGCATGCAGTGGGGCCGAGGGACATGAATGTCACAAGCCACTGGTAGCCACGTTGAGCAGTTGGACCGACGCGTGTTACTTGGACGGACCCAACGCCTGGCAGGGCCTCAAGGCCAGCCACGATCTCGGCAGGTTCGGCGTCAGCATGGAAAGTTGCTTTTTTGCGCTTCAACAGCGTTACGTGTGTATCGGAGGATGTGGGCCAGTTGAACAAAGTCGTGGCGTCCGCAACAGCGCCGAACGTGATTTGAGTTGCGGCGATGGCGTTTACAGTAGCGTCAACTCCAGCAACTTGGATCGAATCGCCAACGGCTAGGATCGCCGTAAAGTCGGTACCGGTGGTGGCAACTGCACTGCCTTGAACCACAGACACGCGGCCCACGATTGTGTCCATGCCAAACACAGGGACATTGTTCGCACCTCGAATGTGCTTCGAGTCCAGAGGCACGACTGTGTCGGTAAACGGGGCGGTAGCGTGAATGCGGAATCGCTCGCCAGCGATAGAGATCACTTCGCCACGGCTCACCACGCCAACCAACGAGTTGGCCACAGTCGTCGTGGCAAATTTATCCCCGGCGTTGACGTTTACAACTTTGCCAAGACTCACCATCGTGCCTTCAAAACCCACGGAGAGGTCAAACGCTCCGCCAATGCCTTGCAAGAGCGATGACTCGGATGTGGTCAGCTGCCAAACTTCTGGTACGAAGCCGACGTTGCCTGTGGTGCTTCCTTGGGCGCCGGAGAGAGTCACGCGGCGATTAAGGGGCAAAAATGGCATGCAGGTTGCTGCACTGCCTGACACCAGTTGATTCTGGGCGCCGTTGGTCAACACACCGCCAATGAAAGTTATGGTGTACACGTAGCCCTGAGGCACGGCGCCAAACGCGGATCGAGTCACGGCGACACCGTCGATGTTCGTCAAGGACTGCAATGCCATGCTGAATACGTCACTTGACGCGTCCCATGGGATGCAGGAAGGAGATGTGGCAGTGCCAAGCGCATTCGTGTACGAAAGACGATAAGATCCACCCGTGATGGGGCCGTCGGGCGACTGGATGGAAAACGTTTGTACTGCAGGAACACGGGCGGCGACGTCGATTTTATAGCCCAAAACTGGGTCACCATTGCTCCCAAGGGGTTTTATGCCTTTAGGAGGTTGCACTTGAACGCGAATGCTGGACGAACTGTTGGGAAGGACAAGTAGACTGGTCGGGACACCAGGGACGTCCTCAGGATAGAAGACACATGCGTTGACGGGCAACACCAGGAGGGCAATCCAGTAGAGAAGCCAGAGCGTCCATCTCCTATGGTGCATGCTAGCCATGGGATTTGAGAGAGTTGGCCTGGCAGACGCAGACCGTCGCGCCACCGTTCCTTGTCGGGGAGATCTTCTTGGCTTGACGACCTTTCAACGTGCTATCCGGATATCTTTCAACGCTTCGATATTCCGGATACGACGTTTTCGGCGGGCGTTTTCCGGGCGTCCGGAGCAATTTCCGCTAAGTCCCACGATTATTCGGATCTTCTTGTTGATGATCTGTTTTTGGGAGCAAGGGCATCATCTACGTGACACCATCGCGGCAGGTGCTCGATGCAAAATTACCACATCTTGGAGCGCATTGGCGAAGGCTCGTTTGGGAAAGTCTATCGTGGCAGGAGAAAGTACTCCGGACATGTTGTTGCGCTAAAGTTCGTGTCGAAGCGGGGCAAGTCGGAGAAAAATATGTCCAATTTGCGCCAAGAGGTACGTCAAGCTGTCGTTGACCTCGAATCGTCCGCACCACGGAGCTCACAATGCATCAACTATAGATTAACATCCTTCGAGGCTTGAACCATTCGAACGTGATTGCCATGCTTGATTCGTTTGAGACGGAGGGGGAGTTTTGCATGGTCACTGAGTATGCGCAAGGCGAATTGTTTCAGATCCTGGAAGACGACCATCAATTGCCGGAAGACGAGATCAAAAAGATTGCTGTGCAACTGCTACAGGCGCTCCATTACCTGCACACGAACCGCATTATCCACCGTGACATGAAGCCACAAAACATCCTCGTGGGGCCGAAACAGCAAATCAAACTGTGCGACTTTGGATTTGCCCGCGCCATCTCAGCCGACACGAACGTGCTGACGTCCATCAAAGGCACACCGCTCTACATGGCGCCGGAACTGGTGAAAGAACAGCCTTACAATCACACGGTAGACTTGTGGTCGCTCGGGGTCATTTTGTACGAGCTCGCGGTCGGGCGCCCGCCGTTCTACACGGATAAGATTGTGACGTTGATCCAGTTGATCGTCAAGGAAAACGTAAAGTACCCCGCGACGATGAGCGCCGAGTTCAAGAGTTTCCTGTCCGGGTTGCTGCAGAAAGATCCATCGAAGCGCATGACGTGGCCCGATATTCTCAATCATCCATTCGCGAGGGAAACCGCGCTCCAAATACAAGACCGAGAGGCGCTGGAGAGACAAGTGCGGCGGTTGCCTACATTCTACGAGGCCAACCAAAAGCTGGCAAACAGTGCCCTCCAGCGCAGCGTCGAGTGGAAGCCCGTCGATCCACAAACTGGACAAGTCATCGACACGCCCGCTGTTGTCTCTTCCACACAAAAGAGCCACGATGAACTTCGCACGCCGTCGCAAGCCCAAGACAATTCGGAGCTCGTCCGAGTGTGGAGCACGTACGAAATTGACACGACTGGCCATGACGCGGGGTATCTTCGTCTATTCGATGCCCCGACGTTTATTAGTCATGTCAACCAAGCTCTGACCTGTACTGACTCAGTGTGCCTCCGTACGGCGCTGTACGTCGTGCACCGAGCGCTGCAACAAGTGGTCAAAGCTAGCAACTCCCTGGACGCAAGGCACTTAGTCATTGTTCAGAACCTCCGCGCATCCTTCCTCGAACACCTGCCCCATGTGCTTTCAAGAAGCCGGGACAATGCATTGCAAATGGTGCGGTCGCTCATGCTGCAGGTGCAGGGGGGAGGTGACTGCAAAGCCGACGTTGGTGGGATCTTGTGGTTGTTGCGAGAGAGACAGGTCGTGGCAGATGTCCCGCTGCTGTCAAAGGTTCTGAAATGGCTCGGCACGTGCTTGGATCATGAAGCAAACGCCGCTATAGTGTTTCAAGGCATCGTCCACGACAAGGCGGAGCTGATTCCGGCGCTTTGCGGGTTGCTCGACCATGAAGATACGAGCGTAGCTACATACGCTGTTTTTGCTCTAGCATCGTTGGTGCATCCCAATGGCGCTGCATGGAACATTGACATTGCTTTTCCCGCGACCGCGGCAGCGATGGTTGACAGCCTTCCCGTGGCTCAAGACAAGATCCAGCGATTGCGCTCCACATATGCACTGCGCATCAAGATTCACACTGACGTCTCCACCGCACTGTTCAAAACCGGATTCTCATCATTATTGGCCAAAGTCGGCAGCGAGCTTGACCTACGAACGCATGAAGTCGCGGTCGACGACGACAATGCCCCCCACACTTTGCTCACAAACCTGCTCAAAGTGCTCTTTTACAGCTGCCGAGTGTCGTCGCCACTGTCGAAACGAGCGGTCAAGACTGTCCAGCTATTCCATGCACCCACAGTGCTCGATCGCATGAATGGACCCGAGCGGTACTTTGCGCTCGAATCCATGGCCGTGTGCCAGCGGCGAGGAGTGCTGTCGGCAGAAGCGTGCGTTCACCAGCTATTTCAAGTCGAGATGACTCGATCGAGGCCGCTACATGTCTTGGACCAAAGTGCCATGTGTACATTACTATCTGAAACAGTAGAAGGTGATGTGTCTGGAGGAATGGCCAAGGCGGCGGTCGAGTTGGTGCCCCTTCTCTCGTTTGCGCTTCCGTCCGACGACACGACGAACGACCTCTTATTTTGCTTTGGTCTGCGGGCAACCGGCGTCCTCGACAGTTCGGTGATCGCTCTATACCGCATCGTGGCGTCGTTAAAGAAACATGGACAAGCGGACTTGCTCCACCAGGTGCTCATTCATCTGGAAGCGTACAGCCACTGGCCAGCCTTCTGCACGCTGCTCAAGACTGGCGGAAACGACAAATTGTCTCCGTGGGGATTGTTTTGCTTGCTCAAGCTCATCCGAGTCTTGACTGAACACATGACCGAAACGGACCAGTTCCTTCCCCCGCACTTGGAGCGCCAACGCACACTGGTGCCACTCCTTGTGTCGCTGCTTCGTCCGGCCCACATCCAACACTTGCTCGTGTGGCCGGATGAAGTAGGCGGCGGCCTTCAAGCTGTCAAAGCAATGGTGCACGCAATCGTCAAGATTGTTAGCATGCCGTTTATGAGCGCAGACGTGTCGGAGGAACTTGTGTTTCAAACCCAGGAACTGTTGTACGAGTCGGGGTGCGTCGGGCTCGTCCTTGGCATCCTCAGCCAACACGCGTTGGAAATGGAGCTCCTGGTCAAGTTTTTGTCCCGGCTCGTCACGAGTTCACCGCATTTTGCCATGCAATTCGTCGACGCGAACGGCGTCGCCCTCCTCAAGTTGCAAGGGCTGCTGCAGGGCACGACCGCATCACTTCTTGTTCAGGACGCGCTTGTCCTGCTCTCCCACATTGCGCGGTCGTCCCGAACGCACTACGGGAACATTGAAGCCGCCAACATCCTGGTCGAGCTCCGAGACCTGCTTGCGTCGACGGATGCAACCCTTCGTGCCAAGACGTGCAACTGCGTCGGCAACCTCAGTCGTCACTCCAACCACTTCTACGAGCACTTTGTCCAGCCATTGCCGCCGACGCAGTCGAGCATCGTCGACGGACTACTCCAATGTGTCCAAGATTCGGATGTCCTCACCCGTCGATACGCGTGCTTTGCCATCGGAAACGCGGCGTTCCACACCGACCAGCTGACTCGGGTGCTGCAGCCCGCAATTCCACACTTGGTCCGTCACCTTCACGACCATGACGTGAAGACAAGGTCCAATGCCGCAGCGGCCCTCGGGAACCTTGTCCGGCAGTCGGGAACGTGCTGCGTTGACTTAGTTGTCCACCGTGCGCCGTATAGCCTGCTCGAATGCGCATTTGACGAAACTGACCTTGGCACGAGACGAATTGCACTCTTTTCCCTCGGAAACTTGTGCGAGTACGAACTGTGTCGCCAGTCTATGACGTCTACCGATGCCTTGTTCGCGCATTCGTTGGAAGGACTTGGTGACGACTCGACAGATGAACTGGTCAAAAAGTACATTCGACGGATCCTGTCGAAATGGCCCGTCGCCAGCGGCGGTGGATCCCGCACTGCTCGCTAACGAACTTCGAAATATGCATGGTATTTATTTCTGGTCGTGCACAAAGGCACTGCAGCACCACCGTTTTCACGAGTTCCTTTGAGTTGTGGCAAACGCTGACACTCGTCAGGACGGCACACCTGAGATATCGCGCTCTAGAGGTTGCGCGTACGGGTCCAGACTTCTCACTTCGTGAATCGCTGCTCCATACTAACCCCTGAATGCGTCATGTGTCCTTCCACCTCTAGTACAATAGCATCCTCCATTCCACCATTGTAAAAACTGTTCATTCGCTCTCCTGGAATGACCTCGGCACACCTGCGACCTTTGCGCGCGAGCTTCTCGCGTCCGCAGGACCGTCCGTTTCGCGGAAGAGCGATAGACTATGGTTCGTTTTGATTGGGCGATGGGATATCGGTCGAAAACCGAAAGATCCAAGGGGCACTTGGATATCCGCGTGAAGAGCATCGGGTGGAAGGATGGCGACTCCTGCTGCGTACCAGGTGACGCCGCCACGGAGGTACATGCCATTCTCATGCTCTCTGTGGTAGACCCCCGACTCGAAGAAAGAGGAGTTCCGCAAGTACTTGGAGAAGAGCGGTGTGATTGACTCGTTGACCAAAGTGCTCGTCGGGTTGTATGAAGAATCTGACAAGCCGCCGAACGCTGTCGACTACATCAAACGGTTTATGGGTGCACCGACGGGGGTCGACGTTGAAGCAATGCGTCTTGAGAACGAGGAACTGAAGAAGAAGAATGCCGAGCTAACCAAGGTCATCGAGGAGCTCAACAAGCGCCTCACAGCAGAAGAAGAAGAAGAGGACGACTGAAGCAGTGCAACCTAACGAGTATACTCTGCATATTATGGATACGTGTTGCACTTGGTCGGGGCCACCACCAACGTCAACACTGAACGTTGCAATTGCGCTGGCAAATGCAGCATTTTTCTCCGTCCTTGGCGCAAACCTATGTCGACCCAATGCTACAGCTTTCCAACAGGACCAATACGAGGCTACATGTTACGGAATGTCTCGCGTGTGCCGCGCACTACCATGCGGTTTAACCGGTCGTCTTGCATTGTGCCAGCAATTCGGAGATGTTGGCTTCCAGCGAGGTCTTTTGTCGCTCCAGGTATTGCTTCCGCGCCTAGGGCAGGGCACGTCAGTGTCTTCGAACACCTGTCGGACCGCACCTCCAAAGCCGCCACTTGGTCGTCGACATTGGTCGCACTGGAGTCCAAGCGAGCCGCATTTTCTTCCGGCGTCATTTCCATAAACATCTTACCTGAATTTCCACGAATTAGCAATGGATTACCCGAACAACAACGAAAGGCGCACCGATCGACGCATAAGTTCGCGTGCCAGTGGGTAATTCAGCCAGCTCTTCTTTGGTCAGCTGAATACGCTTCTTTTCGCGGCCGTACGCGCCCAACTTCGAGTCGATCTAATGGAGCTCGATGCAAAACACGACTGAGGTGTAGAGTCGTACGGTTTCCAATTCGCGATGCAACGACTGGAATTGGGGCTGCAATTCTTGCAACTCTTTCTGCACCGACGCAGGCAACGACGCAGCAGCTTCTTGCTTGGAGCGTTTTGCAGGAACCCCACCACCGTTGGCAAGCGCCATGGTAGCCATGGCTTCTTCGTTCTTTCCCAATTGGCGTTGGGCATTCGCCAAACGAAGGAGTCCTGTGTAGCGTGAGGTTGATTTTGAGCGATTGCTTGAGCTAGTGGACGCTTTACCTTTCTTAAAACTCGGGTTAAGACGCGCACATTCCTTAGCATCGGCTTCAGCTTTCTCCCAGTTGTTCAAAGCGCCATATGCAGCACTGGAGATATCAATTAGATCATGTTTACTTGATACATGGAGAAAGTACCTTCGGTTCGAGTAAAAGATGTGATTCGTCGGTGCAAGCTTGATGGCCTACATGCACGATGGAATTGTTATCATGGTTGCAACAGGAATCACCATCATGCCTCCGAATAGTGGTGAATAGCCTGTTCATAGTTCTTAGCGTTGAATTCCTCGTTCCCAAGACTACACATCCGTGCTCGATAAGTTGTTCGGGTCTCCCAAGCCGTCGACCTACTTCTTTTCGAGCTCCGCCGCGTCGGCCATGATGATTCAAATGAGGGGACCAATTCGATTGAATGGCATGCAATTGGCTCAGATTTTGACAAAAACGCGAAAATAATTCAAGCATTTTTAAAATATCCTCCACATTCAACGGAGGGAGAAGAAACGAGATGGTGCTCAGGGTGCACAGGTTGGGCCACGCACCGCTCATGCTAGCTGCTGACTGCTGCAGGTGCAAAGCATTCCACGTGCATCATGTGACCGTGTCATACTAATCGCCAGTAGTATGACACGGTCACATGATGCACGTGGAATGCTTTGCTACTAATCGCCAGTAGTCCACAACTTGGTCTGCGGCAGCGGGGCAGATCCGCACAGCCAGCGCATGAGCTCCTTCTGGAAAGACCACATCCCCCCCTCTGTTGAAGCACGGCACAAACCAACAGTTCCGTCGTCATGTGCTGCAGGGGGACACAGGATGGTGTCGTGTCCTTCACCTGGAGGTGCATTGTGATGTGGTGTTTTCCTTCGCGACGCGTCGTCAGCCATCACTCGTCATATTATGAAGTTGGAGTGTTGGTCTTTGCCAAAGGAATGTATCTAATGTACGATGTACATTGCCTCGTATGTGGGATGTCTGCTGGGTAGTGCATGAATCGGTCAGAAGTTACACCACGTACAGGATAACGGACGATACCCGTACGTACACCAGTATTATATTGACCACTCACTCATCTCGACTTCAGGCCGTGCGATTCGAAGCGTGCCGCCAGTCCACCCGCCGATCCGACGTCGCATCGATAGATCAGCGCCTGGAGTGACCTACCGTAGATATCAACATGTTTGCTGTATCTGCACGTCGTCTGGAGAAGGACCTGCTCCGCGCACTGCGGTCGAACTGCGCCGATCGGGAGATGCATCAACTGTCGACAGTATGTCAATCCTTCGTTCATCGTCTTGAACACCTTTCTGACATGTTGTGCGCAGCAAGTGAACAACACCGTCAAGCGGATCAATCGTCACGCGCATGCAGATGCATGGAAGCGTGCGAACGTCCGCGCCCACACGACCAACACGACCGCGAAGTTTGCCCGACAAGTAAAAGATGTTAACAATCCGCCCATGTCGTTTTCGGCGTGGCTCTCCCAGCGCATTCCCAAGGGTTTGTAACTTCACATTACCCCATGGTGGCATTTTTGTTCTCTTACACCGTCCTACCAGGCTTTGAACGTTTCTACCCAAAAGGAACGAAGGGTGAAGGCAAGCCCAGTGGTAGCGCCAAAAAGCCGGCTGGTAATGGTCCAAAAGAGGAGCCCAAACCGTCGGGCAGCGGCTCTTCTGGTAGTGGTGGCACTCCTGGCGCGCAAGACCCCAAGGACCAATTGATGTATACGATTCCCATCGCGATTGCCTTGCTCTTGTTTTTGGAGTTGACGTCGGGCGACAACGCGTTGAAAGAAATCACGTGGCAAGAGTTTCGCAACGATCTCTTGTCCCAGGGCAAGGTAGCGACAACGTGTTGATGTGCCTCACGAGTCTTGGCACAGGTGGATCACATTGTTGTTGTCAACAAAACGTACGCCCGCGTGTACCTTCACCGCCCTTCGTCATCGGAGTCGACTTTGCACTCGACGGCGACCCACACGGACTTGCATGAAGTCCGGGACTACAACCATCCACAACAGCATGGCGGGACGCCCGCTGCTGCAACTGCCGCACCGCAGCAGCACACGCCGAGCTTTTACTTCAACATTGGCAGCATTGAGAACTTTGAGCGGCAGATGGAACAAACCCAGGCGAGTTTGGGCATTTTGCCCAAGGATTACATTCCCATCCAGTTTTCGAACGAAATGAACTGGAAGATGGAGTTGCTCAAGATGGCGCCAACGTTGCTCTTGATTGGGTTTTTGATGATGTCGATGCGCGGCATCGGCGGCGCCGGTGGTGGTGGCGGCATGGGTGGCATTTTCAAAGTCGGCAAGTCGCCAGCCAAGAAGATCACAAAGGAAGACATCAAGATCACGTTCAAAGATGTGGCCGGTGTAGACGAAGCAAAGCGTGAAATCATGGAATTCGTTGAATTCCTCAAGAACCAGAAGAAGTTTACGGACTTGGGAGCAAAGATTCCCAAGGGGGCGCTCTTGGTCGGGCCTCCCGGTACTGGTAAGACCATGTTGGCCAAAGCAACGGCCGGCGAGGCGAGCGTGCCGTTCTTCAGCATTTCAGGGTCGGACTTTATTGAAATGTTTGTGGGTGTCGGGCCGTCGCGAGTCCGTGATTTGTTCAAGGAAGCGAGGTATGGCTGCAATCGCTAGATCGTACTCTCACGACGGGTAGAGCCAACGCTCCTTGCATTGTCTTCATCGATGAAATCGACGCCGTTGCACGTGCGCGTTCCAATGGTCGGTTTGGTGGTGGCAACGACGAACGTGAAAACACATTGAATCAGCTTCTTGTCGAAATGGATGGGTTCAGTTCAAGCGAGGGGGTCGTCGTGCTGGCAGGGACGAACCGCGTCGACATTTTGGACAAAGCCATTCTGCGTCCTGGGCGATTTGATCGACAAATCACGGTCGACAAGCCAGACATCAAGGTACATGTCCCCTTCTTACAAGTGTGTTCCTCATTGCCTCGTTTCGTGCAGGGCCGTCGCGAAATTTTCAAGGTGCACTTGAAGGCGCTGCACCTGGACGGCACGGTGGACGACTTTGCGCGGCGCATGGCGGCATTGACCCCTGGGTTTACGGGTGCTGACATTGCCAACATTTGTAATGAAGCGGCGATTGTCGCGGCCCGACGTGCCGGAGACTCGATCAATTTCAAGGACTTTGAACAGGCCACGGACCGTGTGATCGGCGGCCTCGAGACGAACCGGCTCATGACACCGGAGGAGAAGAAGACGGTCGCGTACCATGAAGCCGGCCATGCTGTCACCGGGTGGTTCTTGGAACATGCAGATCCCCTTCTTAAGGTCACGATCGTCCCACGTGGGAAGGGCTCGTTGGGATACGCCCAATACTTGCCCAAGGAAGTATCGCTGCACAGCCAGGAAGCCATCGAAGATATCATGTGCATGGCGTTGGGCGGCCGTGCGTCCGAATACGTGAACTTTAACGGACGGATCACAACGGGCGCGTCAGACGGTATCCATGAAAACGAGTGTGGTTGCTCGGTGTTGACAAAGTCGCTGTAGATTTGCGCCGCGTGACCCAAATGGCCTACTCGATGGTCCAGTTGTACGGCATGAACTCGCGCATTGGTCAATTGAGTTTTCCCCGTGACGACAACCAGCCAGGTGAACCGCGCATGTACAGCGAGCGGACCGCGGAAATGATGGACGAAGAAGTCAAGAAGATTGTGGACCGGGCGTACCAACGTACAATTGATTTGCTCGTATCCAAGCAGGACCTGCTCGTGAAACTGAGCGAGGAACTGATCGAGAACGAAACAATCAACCACAGCGACATTGTCCGCGTGTTGGGGCCACGTCCGTTTGGCGGAAACAAAACGTACACTGAGTTTGTGGAAGAATCGTGGCAAAACGCTGACCGCCACGAAGAAGACAAGAAGGCCAAAGCGGCCGCTGCGGCGGAAACGTCCGTGAGCAAGACTGACGCTTCGGCGACTGAGGACGGTGACATGTCTACGGGATCGGACGACTCGACAGAAAGTGACAAGGAATCGGACAAGAAAAAGGGCGAGTAGGTTGAATAGAACAAGGAGATAGAGATGTATGTCGCAGGGAGTCCCTCTGGGTTGGTTTTCCACCACCAATACACGGCATCATTCGAATCTCCCTGGTCAGGAGCGCCACGTGAAACCCATCGAGACGTTTTCCCGTAACAGGAATCGCTTACAGCTCGGATGTATACGTTTGAAATACAAATTCTCGCCGCGGGTTGCCTTCTGTCGCTGCCATGAGTGCCACGACGTCGGCCATACTCGCTTCCAGAAGCGATGTCTTGTCGATTGCAACCAAAAGCGCTCCAGGACCGACATCTTCGTCACTTGATTCGATGGGACCTGGGCCACCTGATGGGAATTGCGACGTGTACACTGGTTCAAAACCAGCTACGACAACAGGAGCAGACGAATTTGGTCGAAGGACGAGTCCCGTCGGGCCGGGTGGCACCTGAATGTGCACAATGGAATGGGGATCGGGATCATTTGCCACTACTTCTGTCGGTGATTCCGTTCGACATAGCGTCTCCACCTGGCGAACGTCACGAAGATTCCCTGGTTTCGTGGCGGGGCTCACGCTCCGCGACTTGGAAGGGCTTCGCTTGTGCGTGGGGTCTGGTTTCTTCAGGAAGACAGGAGACGCTGTAGCATGACCAACTTCGCGACTTCGCATTTCCTGCCACTCTGATGCAAGCGTCGTGGACACCATGTGCTGCCTGTATTCCTTTATCGTTGGTGAGTCCATCGTTTCCTTGTGTGTGGGACGCTGCGACGACGTTGTTGGAGCTCTTCTGAATACTTCTGCTGGTTTCTTGTCATCGCGAAAGGTTGCATAGTTTGATGGGGAAGGTGGGGCATGGGAGGTCGGCCTCCTGCCTACATCAACCAGGTCGTCGTCCTCGCCTGAACTGCACACGCATGCACACCGCAACATAGCACTCGAGATGATACCGGTAGTTCCCACTTGTGTTCGTACTGTACGTACGATTTTGATTGCCGTCTTCAAGGCAATGTACGAAAACGTACGATATTTGTACATTCCATCACTCAACATCAACGAAAGACGCTGCATCGGTAATGCGACGGTTGCCTGTGCGTCGTCCGTCCACAGCCCGTCCTCCTTGTCGAGAAAGGCGAAAGCACTCGACCGCGATGTCGCTCGCCTAGGGAGTCGAGGGAGAAGAGGTATGTTGACAAAATCCTGTATTTTAGCGCTGCGCTCTTCACTGATCACCACGTGTTTCACAAATGTTTCAACAGGCGGGTGATAAGGATTTCGGCAGGCGCCTGCAGATTGCTAGGTGGCGCATCTGTGCCGGTCCTTTGCGTCCGCGGACGCCTTCAGGCGCGCCACATTAAAATTGGATAGTACAAAATCACAATTCGACAGAAGGAAAGCCATCTGATTGGCTTGAAATTCCGGACAATCGTTTTGATTGGTTTCTTCGTAGGAGCTGACCAATGACACAACGCCGTGGCGACGAATCTGTTCCCACCGAACCAATCAAAGCGTAGGCCATGCTGCCCCACCAACAGGACAAGTGCAATCACTTTGCAACCATCTAGCAAACCACCACATCCACTCCATCATGTTGCGTCGCTCGATCTCCCGGCTGCCGACCCGCGACCTCTCAGCTTGTTCAGGGATGTCCCAAGTGGCGACTTCCTCCCCGGCAGCATCTGGAGCGCCGCTTGCTGCTCAAAACCGAGGCGTTGACGCTTTCGTCGGCCAACAAACTCGTCGTCGACAATCGTTGGATTCAACAGTTGACCAAGCAAAGGCGCGGGCTGACATTTGGGACGTTGTGTTTGGAACACGCAGCGAAGTTGCGCTCGACTAAAGGCTCGTTGTATGCTACGTATTTAATGTATCTATTCCATCGCTGTCGTTGCCTGTGTGCGTTGCCGAAGCAAGCTACTCCTCGACTCAGGTCGACCATGTGACACCATCGCTGAAGTTGCGCCGGAACCTGTTCAATTCGTGCTGAGCCAAGCAACGAATCCGTCATGCGCCACAAGTGCTCCCAATTCGTGGCCCCCGCGACGCCGCGACCGGTGGTGCTCGGTCGCCTTGCGGCAGAGACTGTGTCAACTTGAAGTTGACGGGACAAAGACGCACGGTATCCGGATGGTTCAAGCATCTGGATTGGTCCAAATGGGCCAATCAACATTCGCCATAGAAAATCAACCTATGACGCTTCAGCGTGGCATTGCTTCGGCCTTCGATTGTCCAATCACAGAGCACGCTTGACCTACCGTTTGCATCGCGATCTCTCAACGACCATTAAGGAATCGACCGCCCGATGCTCGCCACTCGCCCACTTGCCCGAAAGGCCCTCGCCGCCGCGTCGGCAAATGCCAACCGACCCACTACCGCGCGATGTGTAGCGGTATTACGTCGCGTGACTCCTCTAGACGATGACGATGAAATCCCCCAATGTACTACCGACAATGTGCGCATTGCTGCCTCGACCAACGTACCCGATTTGTGGCGCACTGTGTTTGGTGGTAAGTCCTCGTCACCACCTTCGTATGTGGACGCGCCGAACGACGAAGATGTGTTTACAACGAGCATTGAGATCAAAGCTACCTCCACCACCACGGTTGACGACGTTGCGCAAGAACCTGAAGTCGATATGTGGGGAACAATGTCCGGACCCAAGAACATCAACTCGTTGGATCAAGGTTCGCTCCACCAAGAGGATGAACCGAGGAACGATAAACCAATGGATTTGTGGGGCGCTGTGTTTGGTGCAAAGCTACCCGACTGCATTCGCGACGACACTCCAGTCGACGAGGCATCCATGTCGGACGTATCCTCCCCCAGTCCTGCCCCGCTCAAGGCCCATACTGACGTGTGGACGTCCGTGTTTGGCAATCGCGACGTGTGAAAGCCGCCGACTGCTTTAATTTAATAAGTTACCGTGTTGCATCATGCAGGTAGCGTGTACACGAGAGACTCGTGCTTTGTGTGGGTCTTGAGCTTGGGATTCTTGTGCAGCACGGTAAAACATCGCGAGCACGTCGTGTCCCCATGGCATTCGTGGCACAACACCTCGCCGTTGTTCACCTTGCACACACAACATTTGGCCGGGACAACTGCGATCCGCGTCCATGGCTTGGATGCTGTGCCGGCCGCCCCTTGCACGATCCCATCGCCTGCCACGTTTGCCGCTTTGTCCGCTTGTCGTTGTAGTTGTGCCAATTCAGCATAGCACGACACGCAGAACCGCTCGCCGGTTGCCGTGCTCCGCGACGTGCAAAAGTTCATTTTGCACTGCGTACACATCACATAATAATTGGGCGGCATCCACGACGTTTCTCCCGTCGTCATGTCCATGTAAAACTGTTCGCCGCTCGCTCCGTCCACGCGGCGTACCCACGTCGACGACTCGACCGGCAGCGTCCCCTCTGCCGCGCCCATCAGACGGGGCGGCGCGTACGACGTCGTGCGCTCTTGGATGTTGAAGTAGACGAGCCGCCCGGTTGCGGCGTCGATGCGCTTCATCACGAGCGACCTACGACAATAAATGAGGGCGCCACGAGGCATCGGAGAAGTCGTTGGGTTCGAGTACCGCAGCAGACTGCGGACATATTTCTTGGCCTGGCGACACCGAAACAGCATCTGGATGCGCTTGGCGGCGGCGTTTCGCTGGAACTTGGTCTTTTCTTCTTCGCCGCGCTGGGCGAGCTGCACCTTCATCGTGTTGATCCGAAGTTGAATCAACTGTTCGGACGCAATCGCGAGCGCCGCTTTCATCGTGAGCTCATCGCACAGGACCTTCTCCAGCCGCTCGCTGTGGTAAAAGTACGCCTGCAACTACGGGGTGAACCACTCGTCAACCAACCGACCACCATACCTTGGCGTGGCGCCCGCCAATGCTTTCAAGCCGACACACCCAAGCGCAGTCCGGGACGTTCGAATACGTTGGGTCGTTTTGCAGCATCTTGGACACATTCGCCGGAGGGTCTTCGTATATGTACGTCGCAGCAGCCTGGAGCTCCGTTTGGCCTGAAAGACGCCGCATGAGGCTGGACATCGCATGCACCACCAGTTCCCTGACCTTGCGGCGTTCGAAGCCAGTCCTCCGCCGACGTTCTTGCTTTGGCCACGGCCATTTGTTCGATATCAATCCACGCTGCTTCCGCCAATTTGGCTTGAGCCTCTTCCCGTTTCTTCTTTAATGCGGTCCTCGCTTCTTCCTGCTTCTTGATCTTGCGCACTTGAAACACCTGACGCGACTGTTCTCGAAACACCGCCTTGCGTGCTCGCTCCACTTCAGCGGCTTCATCCGCGCGCATCTACAGGGATTGTCGCACTAATTGACGATGCTTTGGACAACTACCTGCGCTGCCAGCCCGTCTTCGCGGTCCATGCACAAGCACTCGTGTTGATACCGCTCGAACTCGACCGAGGCTGCCACCATGTCGTCCTGGCGCTGCTGGGACATGCGGTCTAGCTTCTGGAGCTCGACGAAGTACCGCCACGCGGTCACCATCTTGGCGAGGACTACGCAGGTGAACGTGAGGCGTATGCCAAGTACCTTGAACGTACGTTTGCCAGTTGTCTGTTGCATAAGTATCATGGTCCGTTCCAGGAGCACCTGCTTGGCTTGTCGCTGGTCCTAGCCATTCATGTCAGCCCTCCTTCGCCACCCTTTTTCAAGACATTCGTACTAGTGCATAGTTCACCAGGGACGTCCACGCGCTTCGCCGCCGCGCCGCATCGTACAAAAGGCGGCTTCGATTCGTTGCCACGCGCTCGCTACAGCAAAAATGAGCCCCAGTCACGGTGGCCAACCCAAGCATCGTACAGTTCTCGACAGGATGTCCAAAAGGAGACCAAGCCCTCCCACGCCACGACTGTCAACGTGCGGTTGTGGCAATGGGCTGCCTTCTGAAGACTTCGCCTCATCCAACGTACACGATGCACATTCTTCTCCAAGTACATGACGCCGCGACCCCACTTGTAGCGCACTGCATGGCAGTCGGCTCTTTTCAATCGCACAGAGTCCGCTGCAAACTAGACACGGCAACACAAGTCTTTCCATCAATTGTATTGGAACTAAGTTTTTGGATCACCTGTTTCCACCGCATAAATCGATGGCGCGGCTCCATGTGAATCCAGTACGCCAGCGCTTTCGCGTGCTGAGCCGCCAGTCGCTCGCGCTCAACGAACGAGGCTGTCATATCGAGCTCGTCCTGTTCGATGGCCGCTCGTTGAAACTCGGTGAGATTTTCCCAACACAGTCGCCGCACAAGGACTTGGAGGTCGAAGCAAGTGTCTACGAGTCCGCTTCTTTTAGGCTGCAAACGTCCCTTCGTGATGGAGAATAGATCACATAAGAGACCTGCAAAAGAAACAAAATCGCCCAGGCGGAGGTCCGAGCCGTTCAGGGACGACAGGAGGTCCTTCACAAACACCTCCATCTCGGCTTCGGTTTTTGGAGTTGGGCATACAGACGTGAGCATGGGACGGATGTCTTTGGCGTTCACCACAAGCTCCGGCGAGATTGACGAAGCGATGCCAAACATGTCAAAAAATCGCGTGAGGCGTCGCAGGGGAGCGAACGTTGGGTGGTCGAGGACGTCCCACATGCAGCATATCACGCGGTGGTCGACATAGGAAGTTCCCGGCTGTTTACACGGATGTGACACCTGGACGCATTTGAGAAATGACATGACGATGGTCTGCGTCGTCGGATCATGTGCGTTCAATGCCAGTGCGGAGTGCATGATGCTCGACATGACGAGGACAGGAACAAGTGGCTCGACGCACAACTCGGCGCATGCAACGACGAGAGGACCGCCGCGCTTTCGTTGCCTCGGTGATCCCACCTGGTGATGAGTGGGCGATGTTGGAGACTTTCGACGAGGTGATCTGCTTGACTTGGGGCTGTGATGTTTGTAGATTTCGTACACCTCGCGCAGGTGCTTCCACCTGGTATAATATCTTGTGCGTTGGGCGCTTTCTTCCACCCGCACTTGCTCGTTCAACTTGTCGTTGACAGCACGATTCATCTCAATGATATCTCGGATGCGTCGCTTGGACGGGGACACTAGGAAGAGCTCCTCTGTCGCCATCGGCAACGGGCCTTCCGACCGGCACCGGTGCATGTCGATCTGAATATCCGGATACGGTTATTTCACGCCCCTTCAAGAACTCAACCACGATGCCAACGGCGGCGCCTGCGTACGGACGAGTGCTTTCGGATGCAGAACGACATAAGGTTGATGCGCTGGAGAAACGAATGAAGAAGCTCGACGATACGGTGCACATATGGGTACGTGACGGCGGCAATGCTCGAGAGGGCGCGACGCCTCGGTAAGTGATATCAAGTTGCTAACGTCGTGAGGAACGGTCGTGGTGTCTCGCGCAGGGAGTTCTTCTCAATGAAGCTTCGTCCGGCATTGCCCATCTCTGAAATTCGAGTACGTTTGGAATTCGTTGTCAAATGGTCATCGTGTCGACCTATCATGATCGCAGGATCAAATTCAAGAGCGATATGAGCGGGACGGGTACTACAATAGCAGCGTCGACCCTCCGCTGCGACTGCTTTTTGGAGGAAAGCTGCTTGTCGATGGCCACAAATTCAGTGATTATCTTCCTTTGCCTCCATACCAGTCCCATCCTCGTCTCAAATGGGTCAAACCTTACGCCGGTGGGTGTGCATCCTCTATAGTTCGAGCTCCTCACTACTTTGGTCAGGCATTATCTGGGTCATTCCAATTCAAATCGAGCCGCATTTTGCGACGGCGTGGGGAGGTGTTGCAGGCTCAACTTCCCTCTCTGCGTCGAATTCGTCCAGACAAAAGTAGCTCTGCAGCAGCGCGCACGGAATTCTAAACAGTAGACAAATCACACGGTGCTTATCCAACAAGCACGCAAGACTGAGTTACAGCAATGCCGATGACAGAGTCTCTCGACCATGGGCTTCTTTGTATCGCATAATGTAGTCCTTTGCGTCCGGCCACCGCTTGAGAAAATGCTGTGAGTACCATTGCCGCACCGAGATCTGTGATACCCCCATCTCTCGCACCGCGTACTGCTGGACATCCTTGGCCGTCCACCGGATGTTGTTTTCCTGGCACTGTTCCTTCAGCCGCGCCACAAGCGCTTCTTCCTGCTCCATGCGCACCGTTGTGATCCCTGGCGACGCGTAAATGTTGACTCGGCGGTCCACGTTCGCGTTGGTCCTGGTGTTCCAGATGAGTTTCGGAATCCCGTACTTCTTCCGGTAGCTCAGCTTGTCGACAGGCTCGCCGTCTGCGCGCCACTCGGCCAGCGCCTTGGTCAAGCTCTCGTGCTCTTCCGTGCCTTGTCGGCTATAATTTAAGTTGCGCTTGACGGGCTCGCGGCCCAACAGAGTTCGAATCAGTGTGATCTTGGCCTTGGTGCGTTTGGAGGGGGGTTTGAGGAAGTCTTTGACGTCGCCGCCTTCGGGGTTCCACACAACACCCGTCGGGTGAAAATCCTCCACGTACGCCATGAGCTCCGTCACGAGCGCCTTGAACGTTGCAGCAAATCGGACTTGATCTGCGTTCGACGCCTTGTACTGCGCCCGAATTTTGGTACCCCAAACATCCCCCATGTACCGAGCCATGAACGCATGCGGCGCCGCGCCGTCCACGTGCAGCCATTCCAGTGTTTGAAGTCCTTCGTACAGCATGTGTTGGTGGTTGGCGAATTCGCTACGGAGGTCGCAGAGGTCGTGCATTTCCCGGATCGCTTCCTGGATAGGAGCGAGGAGACCCTTGACGGGCCCCGTCGAGGGTTTTTGCGACAGACTCGCCGCGAGGAGGTAGTTGCGTTGGGCGTCGAACGCCCGACGAACAATCGCGCCGTACTTGGCAACTTCCGGTCCGAGTTTCTCACAAGCTTCGAGGAATGGTTGAAGAAATGCTGTTGAAAACACATCGTATGCGACGAAGCCGTGAGCGATGGGTGCGCTAGGCGACGACGAGGGTGCGGCGGTAGGATGCGATGCAGATATGGGAGGGTGCGGCGTAGGCAGGATTGAGGCGGATGACGGCGGCAAACCGATTTGAGCTTCGAGCTGTGCCACGCGAGCGTTCAGTCGGTGGACAGCATCGTCGAGAAGAGGTTGCTGTTGGGATGACGAAGGAGTGGAATCTGCATGTGCGGGCGACGTTGTCAGTACAGTGTCGTGTGAAGGCAGTACTGGTGCGGCCTGCTGTGGATAGGTCATCTCGACAGCGGCTGAGGGTGGTGGCTGCTGTGTTAACGTGGTGTGGTGAGCTGTGGTTTGCTGTTGCAGCATTTGGAGTTGTGCTGGTGGCTGTTGTTGTGGCAATGTGGGCTGTTGTTGTTGCTGCTGCTGCTGGTGGTGGGTCACCATTTGATGATGCTGCTGAAGCAGGTGCTGCTGGTGGGGATTCTGCTGGAGCATCGATCGATGATGACTCACGGCTTGCTGGAATTGGCGTTGAGCTTCGTACTGTTGTTGGGGATCGAGCGTCGGGAGCGACGGTTGCTGTTGTGGTGGGAACTGAGGATGCGAGTCGTGCCGAGGCTGCTGCTGCTGGTAGTGAATCTGATCGTGCGGAGAGTGCTGGTATTGCTGCGGGGGAGGAAACTGCGCAGGGACGTACCCCTGCGGCGGCTGGTACTGCATGCTGATGGCGGGCAGCAGCAATGCAAGCGATGTCTGGAATTGGCGTTAGCCAATCAAACATCGAGAAATTCAATTATTAGCCAATCACACACGAGTTCTGCTCGATTTTCTTCAGTTCGTCGATGCCGTTTGAGATGCCAAAACGCGGCATCTCGCGCGCAGGTTGAGAGACACTGCAACTCTGCTGGGTATACGACACCGCCTGCATTGGATTCACGACAGAGCGCAAGGACAATCAGGTGGATGCTGCATTGGAGTTGTTGCAAAAGAGTCCTTTTATGCGACGAAGTCGCGTTTGGGATGCCGCGGCTGATCGTTGGGCTCGAACGCCTACCATGAGGTGCAACGTGTATTGATGGTCTAATGGTTCGACATGAAGTCAACACTTCATGAAGTCAAAGGAACGCTCGCACAAGCAAATCCATTGTGAACCTGTCGCCACGCGGACATTCGTCAGAAGGAAAGGTCTCGCGAGTACAATTCCATCGACGCGGCGTCATGCAGAGAAAGCACAAGGTGTGCCACACGAACCACGAGAGCATGCTCCTCGCGCAGTGTTCCCAGTGCAGTTGTGTGCGATGCGTTGCGCGCACGGGGTGTGCTCTGCCGACGTACTTCTTGTTTTGTCCAGCATCGCGAAATTTAAATGGTGTTGAAATTAATATCTGAACACATGAATCCTCGAGCTAAATAATATGACCAAAATCGACACTCGAACGCTGGTTTTGTCACATCGACAACCAGCGGCTGACGGGCACTCCAATTCGAAGTTTGAGGTGTGAACCAAGATGGGTCGAGTTCGTGGCATCGTGGCGGCAATGCTGCTCGTGCTTCTGAACGCGTCCGTCCGCGTGCTCTCTGCTCTGTACGAAGATCAGATTGGTTTGTTTGACTGGCACCGCGAAGGCTTAGGGGAACTCACACACGCAGTGTTTCCGTCCAAGAACAGCAAAGACGTCAAGATCTCCAAGGCGTTGTACGTTGCATCACGCGCGAACGTGCTGGCGAAACTTGATGCGAAGACGTCCGCTGTGGAATGGCGTCACATTCTTCCGGAGACATCAATCGACTCCCTCCACTTTGCGGATGCACACGCTAGCCTCTTGACCCTGTCCACTTCGATTCATAACGCCCTCAGGACGGGCAACGCCACCGTCGCGCGGCAGTGGGATGCTGTCAACGGCCGATTGCTGTGGGAAACAAACTTGCCAGCATCCTCTTCGTCCTTGTCTTCCTTTGCCAAAGTACACGAAGTTCGCGCCGAGAACGAAGTCGACGAGAACCGCTTCGTCGTCGTGCGCAACCAAGGCGTGACCGTCTTGGGTCTCAAGCGCGGTGACGTGCTCAGCACCGTGGCGTTCAAATCGCTCTTGGTGTCGCTGGTGTCGTCCAAGGTGTCGTCGGACCGATCCAAGATCTACGTGTTTGGTACATCCGCGGCACAAGCGCCAGTCGTGTTCCAAGTTGTGTTGAAGACTGGCGAGGTGACGGCGCTTGACGTGGCCCCCGTGGCCGCTATCCATCGCACCGAAGACAACGATGAGGTCGTGGCCGTTGGCGTGCTCGCGGACGGCTCAGGCCTAACACTCAAGTCCCTCGATGACTTCAACAAACCAGCTTCGACCGTGACTTCCTCGTCCTTGCCGGTACCTTCGGGCGTCTTGATTTCGTCCGTGGACACGTCCCTGAGCCATGCGCTTGTGGTGTTGCTCTCGAACGGGAAACGAGTGTTTCTCCGCATTGCGTCCGACTTGTCCGTCCAAGTTGTGGCCAGTCTCCCATCCACCGGGGCGTTGGTCGAGTCGGTACAAGCGCCCGGGATCGTCTTCCACGTCGCTGTCGATCCATCACAGAAGCTCGTGTCGATTACGTCGCACTCGCGTTCGTCGGAATCGTCGACGTTTTCGATATCGTTGGACGTGGGGATGTATGGCGGCGCCGTCGTGCGCGGGTTCGCCGGCGTCGCATTTAAGAAGAAGGGCACAGCGCTGTCGCTTATCCGCCTCGCCCTCGTCTTTGCGGACGCATGCGTGGCGCTCGTGTCGAACGAAAGACCCACGGAAGCGTCGAACGTGATCAACCCAGGACTCGCATGGATTCGAGAGGAAGCCCTCGCATATGTCCAACAAATGTACTGGGTCACGCCGACCTTTGACTCGGACGCGATCGACAACGACGACCAAGAGATCAAGTCGCTCAAGGTCATCCCGTCCTACGTGGAGGAGCTAGCAATTGAAGGCAAGAAGCTCGTCAAGTTTTTCGCGTCGCTGTCGGCTATGTGGAGCTCTCAAGACACGTCCAAGCACGCGTCGACTTTTGGGTTTGCCAAGCTCCTGGTGCTGTACACGTCGACGGGCAAGCTGTACGGCCTGGACTCCCAGACAGGTGCAGTCGTGTGGTCGCGATTCCTCGGACGAAACCATCAACTCCTCGTCACTCGGGACCATCCAGCGTTCGGCGCAGGTGCAGAACTGTTGATCGTGACGCCGCAGTCAAAGCAACTGCTTTGGCTGGACGCCGGCGACGGGAGCATCGTCGGCACGCATGACACGTTGCCGTCGTCCAGCACCAAATGGGTCGTGCTGCTGCCGAAACTCAAACACGTTGAACTGGACGCGACTGTACCGCGCCGTGTCGTGGGGGTGCTGGACCAAGACTCGAACGGTGTCGAACTCATTCCGGCAGAGGAAAACGTCAGCGACCTCGTCCGTTCGTTTTACGTGCATCGCTACAACGCGGCGGACCATGCGTTCCAGGGGTTTGTCCTGTCGTCAACGTCGACTGTGTCTCCCGTCTGGTCCATTGCCATTCCCGCCAACGAACGCATTGTGGCGCGGTCCGCTCCGCCCGATCACCTCGCAATTGATTCAGCTGTGACCATTCTTGGCGACGACTCGCTCCTCCTCAAGTACTTGAACCCGCACTTGTTTGGCATCGCGACACTCGACGATCAAGGCGTGCTCCATGTAAGCCTCATCGACGGAGTGTCTGGGCGTGTTGTCCATCGCGTCAAGCATCGCGACGCCGCCGAACCTGTGCACGTTGTCCAGGTATGGCCCAAATGTCTTCGGTCGACGTTAGGATGATCTAATGTTTGCTGGAGAGCGAAAACTGGGTCGTGTATTCGTTCTGGAGCACCAAGTCCAAGCGCACAGAGCTTGTGTCGCTCACGTTGGTCGAAGGCGGTGTGCCCGCGACGGGCCTGAACCCGTGGCAACAGCCGTCGTGGGCATCGGAGAAGTCGTCGTTTGAGCCCAAGTTGCCAGTCGTGCTACAAAAGAGCTTCATCTACCCCGCGTCGATCTCGGTACCGAATGAACGATCCATGGCGACGCTATGTTCTGAAAGGAACGTCTGGTCATGCTCTAGGCACTCGGAGTGACGGTGACGAACCAAGGCATCACGCCGCAGTACATCGTGGTGGCGCAAACGAACGGCCAGCTCTTCAAACTTGCGCGAAACTTTATCGACCCCCGCGTACCCGATGGACCGCCGACCCCGGAACAACTAAAGTACGTTTGCTTTCAACATGTCGTCGGTCATGCCGAGTCTTCGCTGTAGCGAGGGACTCCTTCAGTACACGCCGTACGTCCCGGTGCTGGCGAACGCACTCAACATGATCACGTACAACCAGACAGTGGTGAATATTCGCCGCATCGTGACCGCCCCTGCCCTGCTCGAGTCGACGTCGCTCACGTTTGCGTATGGGTTGGACCTGTTCTACGTCCGCCTCGCCCCGGCCAACGCGTTCGACGTGCTTCCGTCCGATTTCAATTTTGAGCTGTTGCTGCTGCTCTGCTTTGCCTTTATCGTCGGCGCCTACTTCACGAGCGTCTTGGCAGACCGAAAAGAACTCCACGACGCGTGGAAGTAGGTAGACAACATTTGAAGGTCGTGCTCAATAACGATAAGAAGTAAACGAAGTGTCTGGATGGTGCTGATTATTGCATCTCACGGTTGTTGTATGTGGGATTGCGCCAACTCCGCCGCGAACTCGCCTGGGGTGGAAAAATCGACTTGTTTCGACGTGGAGAGTTCGACGTGCGCATAAACAGCGTCGTCGAGATTACCGAAGGAATCATTCGTACACTGCGATCTCTTGGCGCTGAGTTTTTTTGGGAGACGAACAGTCAGCTTGTCTCCACGACACGCATACGAGAAGCATTGCCGACGCTGGACCGGTGCGGCATGCAATGGACCAGCGTGCTCAACGGCTGCCGTGCATGCTCAAACTCGTTCAAACCGAGCTGGATCTCATGCACTGAGCACCCTGCTGTGTGCGGCATGCGACGGGATGGACTGTTGTGCCGACTTGTGATCTTTCGGTTTCGTAAGCGATCCATACCAAGGAATATCATATACGTAATGGTGAATCGCGGCAATTTTCACGCATATTCCAGTGCTCAGCGCTGCCTTGGTTCAGCAGCGCACATCAAGGCACGTGAACATGCATGTGCAGGTGTGGCAAGCTAGCTCTCGATGGCTTCGTGCGGCCACAATGTTCGAGCGGCAGTTGTTGTATCCGGATACGTGTTGGTATCCGGATTATCCACGGTGCCATGAATGAACAGTCACTCGACGACGGCTCCAAGAAATAGAGGTTGAAGCATCGGCGCGGCAGAGGGAGACATCGATCTGTGAGCGTCCGCGGCCTGTCGGTGGCAACTAGTCGAATCATCTCATGGACGACGACGACTTGGAGAAGGAAGTGCAGGCCCTACAGCTTCAGGTACGAAGCGGTCTTGTGGAGAGCCCGATGTGGAGTGGTGGGTGGTAGATCACTGAGCTGAATCGGCTGCTGTTCTCGACGTCCGACAACGCCAAGAGAAAGTCACTTGAGCAACAGATAGAAGAGCTAGAAGAAGAAGGCATTGCGCTGAGAAAGAAATGCCACGACGAGAAGGAACTCATGCCAGTCGTGCGAGCAGCGACGAATGCGCGACCCGCCAGCGCACGACCCCGACGGACAACTCTCAAGCCCGTGATAGAGGTGCGCGTCATTCGAACTACATCAAAGCCACGCTGACATGTTATCCCTTGGACAGGACGCCGAAGTACCCGTGGCGCACCTGACGCCTGAACTGGCCCGGAGACACTTTACAAACATCATCAACCTCGACAACGACGCCATCCGCGATATTCTCACTCCTTCCCACAACGACAAGTTCCCCGCCATGGCCGTCATCGAGTCCGGGGTCAAGACGTTCTGGATGTCGTCGGGCATGTACCCCCAAATGATCCGCCTCATGCTGCGCCAGACCGTTTACATCGCGTCCGTGGAAGTCACGTGTCTATTTGTGAAGGAGCTCGTGATTCATTGTACACACAGCCGGTCGGTGGTCAATCCGGACCCGATCCGGGTCACGTTGCCGCCGCCGTCGTGGTTGGATTCCGGTACGCACCCTTTTCTCGTTCGGGAAGGACTCGAATGGATGACAGGGGAGATGGACTTTCGCACCCGCATCTCGCACAAGTTCAAGTTCGAAGGCGACGCGGTCGAAGCCATTGACGTCCGAATTTTGAGTGGATACGTCGACTTTTGCCTTGTCCACGGCATCAAGGTCAAAGTCGACGAGGACCTCGAGCTCCCGACACAGCAGGAACCCCCGACCAAGACTACCGCCGGCACTAGGTCCAATAGCACACCCATAGAGTTAGGTCGCACACGATAATGGTCATCGCAGTGTTGTCGCGTTCCATGAGTGCACGTCGATGCGGAGAATGTCTTGCGCATGGTGTCAAGCTACAACGAGGATGCAGTCGACCCACCTTCGCTCGGTAGGACTAGTTTCGTCGCATGCGGAGCGCATATGCCGCGCCGCGCAACTGTTGACAACGATGCAGTTGGAAAGATTCGGACGATTTTGATTGGCCCATGTCCTTGTTGTCGAATGTTGGGCTGGATGCGGAGCGGCCCCGGAAGACTGCCGCTGCTGCGTGTGCGGGGGTTTTCGACCGAGGCTGTGTATGCAGAGCAGCTACAACTCAAGCAGATCAAAAGGTTGGTGATATTGCAGGGGAATACGCGATGACGCGCTCACATATTTCAGCCCAGAGTTCTACGACCACCATGCACGCGATCGCACCTACTTTTACCACGTCGACCTCCAAGTGTGCCCAATGTCGTCGCATCCCCCGCGTTAAACTGTGTAAATGTGTAGGGGCAATTGTTTCTGGAGGACACGATGCCCAAGACGATCGCGACGTCGCTAAAGAGCCACTCGTTCCTTCGCTTCTTCTTTGGCCAGCTCCGACCAAACCCGAATGCCGGCAAGATGTCGTCCCTGTTCCATGACTATTCGTACACTTCTCCATGTGGATCCGAGATGAACTACATCAAGGCTGCAGACACCCCGTTTGTCTTTTCGGAGCTCAAGGCGGACGATAAGGGGGACTGGACTCTCGTCACGAACGCTGGCCAAGCAGTGCGGTTCGATCCATCGCACTTGGCCATGTCGACGGCAACTCATCGGCTGTACCACTGGCTCCAGACCAAGCACGTGTCGCTGTTTGCGCTACTTCGGTCCCAAGTCGCCGTGGAAGTCAGCCAGACAATTGACTTTCGCGAAAATGGCCACCACGTTGTCCAGTGGAAGGGCGGCCAGGTCCCCCTGACACTCGACACAAGTCGGCCTCCTTTGACAGCACAACACTTGAAAATTCTCGATTAAACTGACTCAAACCTGTGGCAGCACATGCAACCATCATGGTGTGCTGCTGACGTGGACGAGGCTGTCGACAATTCGAAATGCTTCAAAGAACTTGTTGATGCTGATGGCTCGCGTCCCGTCACTAGATGAAGCGGCATGTTTCCGCATGAGACACGAGAATATCCACGGCGGAACGGATGCCGTACATGTCCATGTCGCGGAAGAGCGCGATCGGGTCCTTCCACCGGTCCGACAACGGAAGGTGCTCGTTCAGCAGCAAGCACCCCTGCTTGAATTCGTCCATCGAGATGGCACCCGAGTGGTCGCGGTCGAAAAAGCAAAAGATCGCCTCCAAAGCTTTCCGGTGCGGATACAACGCATCAAACACCCCGCGCCACTCGGGTTGCTGCCCACGTGCGTGAGGTTCACAAACGGACGTGGAAACAGGACCACGTACGCCTTCATACACGGCGCAAAAGGACGAAAGGAATTCGTCGCAGTCCACGTTGCCGTCGGCATCCACGGTTGTCATGTGCGGCGCCAGTTCCTTCCAGTCCAAGTCGAGCGCCAGAACTTTGCGCAGCACTTGGGCCCACGCGTCCACGGTGATTCGAGTTCCTAGAGTGTCAGGATCAAGCTCGACTTCGCTCGGTGCTGCATGCAACCTTGGTCAGTTCGACACGTCTGGACTGGATGCAGCGCTTCAAATGCTTGAGCGAGCTTGGACTATATGCATCATAGACGTTGTCATGACGGACGTAGAGGAAGCTGGTGGCGCACACGACCTTGTGGCTAGCGATCAAGTGGATAATGTTGTGGCGATTACGATCTTCAATCGATCGAAATGCCGGGAGGCCTCGGGTCGTTGGTCTCTGTACAGTGCCAGACGTGTGAGCAGGAACAGCATGTACAACAGGGCTGACCGCGGGTGAAATGCTGTAATTCACGATATGATATCGCAGGTCGGCATCAACCTTCAAGATTCCTCCCTGCATCATCGAAAGTCAAACGCACGTGCCAGCCAAAAAACACCCGCACCCACCCTGTTTGTGTCGTGACAGTAATTGGAGCACGAGAAGAGCGTAAGCAGCATGTTCTCGGGGACATTGCCCAGATCGGTCGGGATTTGCGCGGGTGGCATGGCTGGAATACACCCGTCGGTACTGACTTCGTCCAAGTCGAACGCCCACATGAAACCTTGCCGCACGACTTCGTGCGACCGCACGACCATCTACCCCGTGGTCACACACGCCTCGACGACACCGCACGAATTGCAGTCTACCTTGAGCTGGTTGCGCTGAAGAAAATCAGCGCAAATGTCTGGGCCAAACACAACCCCCGCGCCACGGCGGCTCGATGCGAGGCCCAAAGAAACTTGAGGGTCTGACCACAAAAGATCCTGGTGCATATGAGCCCACTCGGCGCATCACGACCTGTTGGCACCTGCATCCAGTGAAGTTCTTTTGGCATTGTCGGGTCGTGTGGGGCGTGCAGATGGTACTTGTATCGCGGAATCGAGTTGATCTGCAGAGCTCGCATTTGTGTGACGAAATGTGCTTCATCAAGTACGTCTCACGGACTTGGTCGATCGTCAGCGGTGTCTCCGAGAGCCCGCCATGGACGACAAAGAGCGAGTCATTGACAACGTGGGCGAGTGGGAGCGCATCGAAGACTGCGTTGAACGCTTCACACATGTCCGCATCGTATTTCACTAGAACCTACGATCTGAACCTTGTCGATCACGGCAACTCGGTGGGAATCTATGCAAGGGTCATACTTCACGGCGAAAGCTGTGCACGCTATTCATAAATTCGTCTTCGTGGTTGCCTCGATTGATGTGAATTGCGTCGGGGTACAGCATGTGGTATGCAAACAAGATGGCACAGATCTCAAGGCTGCATGTCCCGCGATCTACAACTGCCGCAATCGTTTACTCGCAACGCTGTACCGTTAAGGCACACGTACGGTCGCCGTTGAAAAGGTACCAGCACGTCGGTGACGGCAGCCCTTGCGTGTCGAAGATGTGCAGGAGGTCATGCAGTTGCCCGTGTAAATCCCCCACAACTGTCAACGTGCACCCAGGTGGAATCTGTCATTTTTACGATGAGATGCCGATGAGATGCCTCGAGAGACAACACACTAAGAACGTTGTGGTCGTACCTGCAGTTTAATCACGTTGGGCTGTGTTGCGTAGTGCTCGGCAGCATGAACGAGAAATTTGTGGTAGATGTCTCGAGGCAGCGGGATGTGGACTGCATCTGCCGAGTGTCGAAAATCCTAGGCAGATTGAACTCAAGTGGAGGACATCTGCACGAGCTTACGCGCATCATTTCCTCGACTTGAGTCGTGCTGGGCGGCCATTCCATGTGAATTGCATCGTGCAGCTTGACGCTAGATAAGTCCATCTCGCATCCAGACATGGCCATTTCTGTCAACGACGTCATCAACACCCGGTCAAGTAGTAAGTCGACTGGCACCTGAGTCCCGAATTGAGGCGTCAGGAACGACGAGATGGATCAAATCGTTCATAAACTTGGACAGTCGGACAGCAGTCGCTTCGTCGTGCCTGTATCCGAGGAGATCGATCATGCAAGCAAGACAAACGAGAGCGCACATGTCGAGTTGGCTCCATATATGCCAGTGCTTGAGGTCGTCGTCCACGGGATGCGCTTTCAGGAGCATCTCCCGCTCGACGACAATCAAATTATTCGACACCAGTTCATGGGTGTTGCTTGCGCCCATGCCTCTTTGATGGATTGTCGGCGGAGGTTGGTATGACGCGGAACTGGTCGACCGTCCCGTGTTTATGTTGCTCAAAATCTCCACATGTTTTCTTTACTCACAGCTCTCAAATGTCCATTTGACTTTGTCGAGAGCTACCCACGGCAACCTGTCCATGTCGAGCTAGATTCGAGCAATGGCGAAACCTTTTCCAGGCGTCTGAGTGATTTGTCCGCCCAAGGGAGCGCCTAAGCACGGTGCATTTCGTCTGAATGCCGAATATGGTTGACAAGCTTACCCGTTCCACCTCGATCCCAACCCATTCGCTTTCGTGAGTTCTTTTGTAGAATGCGTGTCATTGATTCTCCTCCAGAGTGCGTAGCGCATCGATGGTAGAGACATCATGCCACGTTCTCGGTCAAAGAGGAACGATTGACCGCCACGACTCTTTCGCATGTGTGCGGCGCCGCGACTGCCATCTTTGCCAAGTGTTTCGGTACTGATGGACAGAAAACCTTTCAAAATCCATATTGCATCCATTCTTACGATACAGAACGCAATTCATTTGCATTTTTGGAGTCACTGGGACGCACATCCCAGTCACAACATGGCCACATATGCCTTCACGGACGAAGAAGCGGAGGTCCTTAGCCACAAGCCGCGCCTGGGGGAGCTGTCGGTGGGGGAGAAAGTAGCCGAAGCCGACTTGCTGAAGCAGCAAGGAAATCTGTACTTCAAAGCGGGCATGTTCAAGAAAGCCGTCCAGCAGTATCTCAAAATCTTCTTGTACGTCAACGGGTTGAGTGTCGCTGGCGATGGCATGTCGTCTTATGCAAGGGGGAATTCCAAAGCGACGGAGGATGAAGGCGTTGCGATCACACAGTTGAAGATTGCCGCCTATTCAAACATGGCCATGTGTCAGTTAAAACTGGACAACCCGGACAAAGCAATCGAGTTGGCGGACAAAGTGCTAGCCCTTGAACCCGGACACACTAAAGCACGCCTTCGAAAAGCGCAAGCGTAAGTTGACGATGTGTGCACATGACATTCCTCATCACGATTGGATAGATACCGTCAAAAAGGAAAGTTCACGGTGGCGAGGGATGTCCTTCGCGAAGCGCTTGTTGCCGAGCCCAAGAACGCCGCGCTGCGTAACGAGTTGAAACAAGTGCTGGACGAGATTCAGTTGCACCCGGAAGTGGACGAAATGAAGGCCAAGATGGCCAATATCTTCAATAAATCGGGCGGCATTTACAAGTAATGGTGGATAATTAACATGCTACTTTATTCGCCTGCTTGTGGGTCAACAGTCGCATAGGGAAGGTCCAACGTCGTCCCCAAGCGGTCCACAATGGCGTCCATGAATTTTTCGTAGCTGTGGCCCAGAATGGACTCGTGCGTGGAGGGAATGATATCGGACACGTCAATGTTGCGCACGTGATTCGACTTGATCGCGGCGCAACCCGCCGCCGGGCGAGCGATGTGCATGTTGACCAGGGAAAACAAGTGCATGAGTATGTGATCTTGCGATGAAAACACATTCAGCATGCGGTTGGGGATAGCTGCGTTGGGCTGGAACACGGTCTCGGCGATAGTGGAAAAGTCATGGTCGGGTACGAACGCTGCAGCAAAAAAGACCTGCGCGCCCAATGAGCAAGACCGTACACGGCAGTCAAGAGACAAGTACCGCTTGATGGAGGTGGATGGGCGTGTTGTTTGAATTGCTGTTGTAGGCGGCCAAGTGCTGCAAGCAACTGTGGATTACGGCGCTGCCCAACGAGTGGCCGACCAGCGTGACCTTCCGGCCTCGCAGGAGCACAGGTTGCGAGATCAAAAGTTCGGCGAGAACAATGCCAACTTGATGGGCTTTGTTTTGCGCTTTATTCCACGGGTTGCCCACTGACAACGTCGTGGTTAACGGTGGTGCAAGGGACTGAACGGACCTGTGAAATGACTAGCGATTGTGTCGTCTTGACCCGTCTCGAGGTGGACGCTCGTTTCATTGCAGAACACATCCCACTCGGCAGCGTTTCCGGCCTCCCACAACAGCACGAAACCAGACACTGGCATTCCCCATCAGGACATTTTTTTGAAAGTGTGGTCAACATACCACTTCGCTTGCGCCCGATGGCCTCCCAATTCACAGAAGGTTTATAACCATGCGTCATGAACCCATTAATGGCAATTACGACGTGATCGCACGTGAGTGCGTCCCCGCAGTACCGTTTGACCTCGAGGAAATCGACGGTGCGGATCTTTCGACTTGTTTCCATGCTTCTTAGGGCTGCTTCCTTGGCGGTATCCCACAAGAACTGTGATGAACGAGGTGCAGAAGTTGCCGCTTGCTGTGACATATAGTCTTAATATCTTGCCGACGACATATCATGTCGAGCCTTACAAGTGAAGTTGTTCGCACTGGGGCCGGAAGAGGGTTCAAGATTGGCGTCGTCTTCAACCATGCACTAGCAGCTCCCCAGAGACCTCCTGCAGCTGCTGCGATGATATCTGAATGCAAAACTTGGTCGGTCGGTTGCTTGGACAAGGCAAGTTGGACCGCTTGTTTGAGCTGGTCGTCGATTAGACTCAGAACGGTCTCTCGAGCTGTCACAAGGTCGCCATTTACAAGCTCGATCCATCTCTCTTGCGTTAAGAAGCCCCTGTTGATGAGTTCCGCAGTGCATTCGTCAAAGCGCAAGCTCGTCTCGCACGTCGTCGATGGGGTGGACTCGTCCATGTTGGGCATGCTTCTGCGCAAGAAGAAATCCAATGCAAACGTGAAAGCGATTTTGCAACAGCGACATCCGGATAATCCAAGGATACCTCCTACGGTTATCCGGATAACTCAACTCTCAACGGAAGAAACGGTCGCCAGTGAATACAGTGAACCGGGAAAAAACTCGCAAGCGTTGTACTCGCGAGTATTTTGAAGTTTGTATGTATCGAGTACACCTACGGTAGGTGAGTTAAAAAATATCATGGATGATGGTACCCATCGAATTCTGACTTGAGGCCACTGATTGGCCAAGACAATTCAGAAAATATGCAATTTTTATTTCTTGACCAGGTCAAGGATCGAACCCTCTGCCAATTGGGATGACCAGTGCCCTCATTGTGCAAGCAACGACAGTCCGAGGATACCTCCGCGACATTTGGCGTGGTGATTAGGGTAAGCTAGCGAAAGGTTAGCTGACCTTGTCAAAGTAGCACATTGCGTGTGAGGGGTGAAGGATTAGCATGGGATCCCATGAGGATAGTGCGACACTATTTTTTGTTTGCTCTTTTCGTACGCGTGGAGGAGCTGAACCCTTGCTCTAATCGTGTAACGGCGTTGAGCTCGCTGCGGGAGGACGGTTCCAGGCATTTCAAAGTTTGAAGTTGACAGTGCCTCAAATCAACCAATCAGAGAGCCCAATTTGATTTTTCTATATTTGTCCAATCATGGATTGAGATTGAGTCTGAACCAATCAGAGATCACGAAAGACGCTCAAGGCTTTTTATCCAATTATGGACTAAGAAGCAATTTTGCTTCTAGTGCTGTGTGTGAAATCAACGAATCCCACTGCAAATTTAATGATGGTACAACGCTTGCGAGTTTTTTCCCGGTTCACTGTAGAGAGCGTGCATTCATCATGCTTAGTCGTCGTACGCGGTGAGGTCCAGTGTGAGCACCTTGGATCGTTGAGACGAGATATCCTTGCACACACCGAGGAGAGCGTCTGCCTTCTCGTAGAACGCGTCCTTGAGCGAAATCACGACGCACTGGAATGCGCACTTCTGAATGTACGTCGACACTTTGTTGACGTTCACGTTGTCAAGCGCAGCATCCACCTCGTCCAGGACGAAGAATGGCGATGGATGGTAGCTATGGATTGCAAAGAGGAGCGCCAGTGCAGCGACAGTCTTTTCCCCGCCACTCAATTGCTCCATTTCACGGAATCGCTTCATGGGTGGCATGGCGTTGTACTTCATTCCGTGCAAGTACGGCTCCTACTCCGCCAGTGTTAGCGAAGTCTTTGCACAGCATACCAAAGTAAGCGAGGCAAACCTCTGGATTTTCCAAACTCAAATATGCCGTGCCTCCCAAAGGATGCTTGGAGCTCTTGGTCAAGTTCTTGTACGTCTCATCGATACACTCGGACACGTGGTTAAATGCTTCCATAAATCGTTCGAACCTTTAAGACTTGGTTAGTTTCGAATAGTATTCGGTATACAGATCTCCGTACCGTGCGTCTTTGACTGCTTCAAATCGCTGACAAGCCAGGGCCGCATTCGCCTAGAGCAGAGCGTTCGCAACGGCTGAGTTCAGTTCAGAGCTAAGCCCACCTTAATCTTCTCGAGTTCCTCTTCTTCCCTCGAAATACGAGCTTGGATTTCGTCGTACTTTTCCAACGCTTTCAAGTTGGGCTGCATGCGCTCAAGGTCGCCCGCGATGGTCGAGATGAGCTGCTCGTACTTGACGAGGTGGTCTTGCCGCATTTTGTCAGTGTCCAAATGGAGGTCTTCGAGGGTGGAAAAATTGATTTCCTTGTCCGCGTAGCGATCGCCCGCTTGATAAGTCAGCGAAATTGACTCTTCTGACGACCCTGTCGCAACAATGGAATGGCTCGACATGTCGATGTCACTATCTCCGATTTCGTCGTCGTCAATGGCTGTCGCAGCTTCCCCAACAACAGGCAGCTTGACCTGATCCATCGTGGCGCGCTTCAGGATTTCGGTCTTTTTGTCCTTGAACCGTTCAAGTGCTGTCTCTTCGACAGCTAACTGCTTCTGGACTCCGGTCATTATGTTGTTGTGATCATCACGCTTCTTCATCAAGATTTTGAGTTCGTGCTCGATTTCCTTCAGTGCGTCGTGGGCAGCGGTAGCCGCCTCGACGTGTTTGGTTGACGTCTCCTCTAGTTCGGCTGTTTTTGCCTGAAGGCCTTTCTTCTCAGACTCGAGTTCTTTCAGGTGTCGCTTTTGCTTGGAAATCACATCCTTCACCCTCTCCCACTCAGAGGGCAGGTCTTGGGCTTCCAGGTATTGCAGCTGCAAACACAGAATATTGTCATCGAGTTGTCGCTGGTCCAAGAGCGCACCTGCGCCTGCACTTTGGCCAAGTGCGAATCAAGCTGACGCCGTCGTTCGAGCCGTTCACGTTGCTGCTTGACGACTTTTTCTTCGTACTCGCGGATGCTGGGAATGCCAAACTGTTGACTGAACCCTTCAAACATAGTGTCTTCTACCTGCAACCACGCATCCATTAATACGCTTGATTCAGCAATCACTGGTGATGAAAATGCTCTTGCCGAGTTGATTTGGTGTTCCAAGCTTGTCAAGTTGCTTTCGCGAGCACTGAGAGCCCCACGAATTTTGTTGATTTCAGGGACCAGTTGCATGAGGATCTTCGTGCATTCTTGTTTCCGTGCCAGGATCTTGGGTAATTTGGACTCGGTTGTCTTGATGTCGGCATTGGCATATCGCAAACGATTCATCAACGACCCCAACTTCGTTTCGAGCGTTTGCTTGCGCACGACGCCGGTGCTTTCCTTCTCCAGTGCAGACAGTTCCTACCGTCAAAAAACGAACGTCATCAGGTCTTTGTCTGTGTCGGACTAGCGTTACCGCCTGCAATTCGTCGCGCTTAACCTTCAACGAAGCTGTTTCCTTCTCATCCCATCGCTCTGAGCGTGCCGTGTCCTTGTAGGTCTTCCCTCCAGTCATGCTGCCGTTCTTGCTCACCACCATACCATTCAACGTTACCGCCTTGACTTTCTCGTTACGGCGAAAGCACACATCCCTGGAAGACGGTGACGTTGGTTAACCTGATGTCAGATGGGTCGTTATCAATATACCTGGCATCTTCGATTGAATCGCACACGATGGCATCCGACACAGCGTACGCCACAGCAGGTTGAAACTCCGGATCGCAATCAATCACGTCCACGACCAACTTGATGTTGTCCCCTAGTCGACGGAAGCGCTCGTTTGGAGGAGTCACACGGATTTTGTCAAGTGGAATGAACTGGACGCTCTCTAAGCGCTGTTCGCGAAGATACTACAGCGAATGACGCGGTCAGTGTTCGTCCATGTCGAGTAAATCAAAACCTGAATGCAGTCTCCGGCAGTTTTGTAATCGGTCACAACAAGCGCGTCCATGTACTTTCCAGTGGCGACTGTCACCGCCATGTTGTATTTGCGTTGAATTGGTTTGCACAAGTCGACCAAACGACCGCGGACTCCAGGAAACAGCCGCGTCAAAGTTTCCAGCGTCTCCACCTTGCGTTGATCAGCCTGGCTTTGCCGCATGCCGTCTTTGACATTGCGCAATTTCTGCATGTGTTGAGCATTAATAATCACACACAATTCGCTTTGGGAAAATATCTCAGTCTCACCGAGTGAATCTTGTCCAGTTCCGCCTTGTTAGCTAGTTTCTTGTCGGCCAGGGATTTTTCCTTTCAAAGTGATGCCCAACTAAGATTAAAGCTGGATGCACTTAGAAGTCTCGTACAAATTGTTCAGCGTTCTGGAGCTCCGCTTCAGTGTCGTCAATCTCTGCCGTACTACTGGCAACCACGCGGCGAATCTAGTTCAACACGTCAATTGAATGGCTTTGATCACGAATAGCATCTGCTTACGTCCACAAGACGCGCCTCGGCAACGGCATGGTCTTCATTCATACGAGACAACTCGTCGGTGTGTTCTTTTTCGTCTCGCAACAGCGCTTGCAACCGGCCATTGTCGGCTTGCTGCTGACGGCGCAGCTGCAATGATAAAACTGTAAGTAAGTGTCGATGTTGTGCACATGGACTTGCCCCACCGACTCGAGTTCGTTGCGGAGTTTGGCTGTCTTCAATTGGGCAGCTTCCTTGATGCGATTGTACTCTTTGAGCTGTGTGCCTTTCAACACCAACTCTTCGTCATCCTTGGAAGCATCCAGCTCGTTCTGTGCATGTTTTAAGTCCTTGATATCTTGGCGAAGACCAAGGATTTCCCGTTCGTGGTTTTGCACATTTTTCGCCATTGTGTATTCCTTGGCCGATGCTGCTTCGAGCTTCTTCTTGTCATGCTTGATTTGTTCGTTCAACTGAATCGTCCGTGGGGCCACGTCTTCCAACTTGCGTGTGACATCCGCGACCAACGTATCCAATTGACGGCATTTCTTCAACTGAGTCGCATGTAACTTCTTTTTCTCTTTCTGTACCCCGGCAAGTTCCTGGAGGGACGAGCGCGTTCATTCAGCTATGAGTAGAGTGTAATCTATCGACATACGTGTTCCTTGTCTTGGAGCTTCGCAACCTTTTCGCGGAGTTGGACAATCGCATCTTTGTGGTCACTCGCATCGTCCTCCACAAGCTTCACTTGCCACAAGTAGTACTCCTGTTTCGTTTTGGCCAAGTCCTTGCGTCGCTGTTTGTAGCGCTCTGCTTCTTCTTTTTGCTCCTTGACAATCTTGCGCTCTGCCGCCAGACCTTTGCGTTTCTGGTACGCAAAAATCGTGTTTTCTTCGGCGATGGCCTTTTCTTGCAAGCATTTTTCGTACTCCTCTTTAAGTTCTTCCGACGACGAGATCAATTCAAACATGCGGGTCAATTGCTCGGGAGACTTGGAGGCAATCGACTCAACATCCCCTGCACAAGAATTCTGTCAATAACCAAGATTTCATCAGCATCCACAATACTGTACCTTGAAACACTAAAAAGTTACGCGCCTTAACCAAAATACCCAGGTCCTTGAGAGTACTTTCGTATTCTTCATACGATTTTTCGTGGTTATTAATGCGATACGACCCGATGCCCTTTTCGGAGATGCAACGTGTAAATGTGAGCTCATTTGACGTAATTCCACCAGGGAGCTTCGCATGAATGCGCTGCTGTTCATCTTGGTCCAGATCGTAGACCAGAGAAACGTGCGCACTTGTTTCGGCACTCAGTGTCAGCCCACTCTTGTGCAAAAGATCCTTGAGCTGATTCGACCGCAATTGACGGCTTTGAACGCCGAGCACAAAACTGATCGCGTCCATGAGGTTGGACTTCCCAGAGCCGTTTGGTCCCACGACTGCGGTGAATCTGGCAAACGGGCCGATCTCCTGCTTACCTCCATAGGACTTGAAGTTGTTCACTTCGAGGCGGAGAATTCTCCCCATGTTGTTTCTCGTGTTGTGACAACAGCGCGGGAAAAGACTCACGCGTTACAATGAATTGACCTTGCTATAAGAACATTTCTAGTACTTATTGTCATTAAGTTGTAGTAGTAGTAGCAGTATAGCACATGGCTAAATGGAACATGACGGACATGATGGATAGTAATACTACAACAAAACCATATTTGAATATTTTTAAATATTAATCAAAATTACAACGACCAATACCTCGAGCTTTAATAAAATTGAAAATTTTATTCTATTTAAAATATGATATTTTCTAATTTTTAAAAATTTATAAAATATTGTAGGTTGTTTTTTTATAGAGATTTTTTTTTAAGTACTTACTACTGTAGTATACCCCGTTTGTGATGCAAACAGAGGTGGAAGCAATATGCCGCAAGTTTCTCGACTCGGCGCATGTCGCTAGGCAACTACAAAGCGATCGATCGGATTTCACGCAGTTCCCAAAAGTCTACACCATCCCAAACGAAGCTCCATGGCCAGATTACCTCCAGGGAGAAACATTATTCAGCGCAAACCTGCGCTTCCTCTACAAGATGGACAAGATTGATCAAGCGATGTTGGACGAGTTCGACGAACTCAAATTTGTATGGGACCCTGTAGAGCACCAACACGCGATGAGTGTTCTCGCGCTCAAGACGTACCGAGCGTTAAATGGGCATGTCAGAGTCCCAGGCTTGTTTGTCGTGCCGGACAAGTCACCTCTTTGGGCGAAAGACTTGTGGAACATGCCGTTAGGTGTCGTCGTAAAGACTTACCGTTCGTCTTGGACATCCTGGCCTGAATCCACGCGAGCAGCACTCGAAGAAACCGGTCTTTCTCCAACTGAAGCCGTGTGGCCAGAGGAGTCGCAACTTGCCGCGTTCAAGTGGTTCAAACAGATTTATGGGCACGTCGATATTTCTGGAGATTTCGTCGTTCCTTCTCAAGATGCTGCGTGGCCGCAAGCTCTGTGGGGATTGCCTCTCGGCCTTCTCGCCTTTGACTTGCAAGCGAACCCTCGTAGACTCAAACCAGAACAGTACAGTGAGCTCAGGGATTTGGGCGTGGTATTCGAGGGTGTTGATCGTGCGACCTGGGACGAACGTGTGCAAGCTCTGATCATCTACTGGAGAATTTACGGCGATTTTCTCGTACCGTCAAGGTTTAAGGTGCCCAGGAACGACGTGCGATGGCCCGACTCGATGTGGGATTTGGGACTTGGCGGGATCGTTAGCCGTCTTCGTCGAGACGCCCACGTCGTGCCTGCTGACCGGTTTAAACAGCTGAAGGACATGGGGTTTGTGTGGAACATGGACGAGTACTCGTGGGGAGTCAAAATCAAGGCCCTTCAGACGTACAAGGCTCTTCATGGAGATCTCAGAGTGCCGCAAGTGTTCAACATACCGACTCACGACTCCCGATGGCCGAAAGAAACCAGGGGATTCAAACTGGGTCGAGCGATCGATCGACTGAGGGAGCATCACAAGCATATGCCTCCAGAACGTGTCGCACAACTCTCGAACATGGGGTTTGTCTGGCGATGCCGACGTAAACGCCAGCAAAAGCCAAAGAATCCAGCATCGCACCATGCCACGTTTCTCGAAGTGTAGCGAAATCTCCCATATTTAACACCACTCCCTACATACTTTGAAGCAGCAGTGACTATTCTATAAGGGTTTGTTTCGAAGGTCGCGACTCTGTCAAGTATCGAGGACGCGCGTTGGGGCTCAAGACTTTTGTGCCGCGTGGACATTCATTCGCATCTTCCTTCGAGTGGGCTGCTTCACTTGATTCCCAGCATTCAAATGGAGCACCAAAAATGGTAGTGTTTCTATACAATAAATTACCTACGCACTGGTGACCCTGTCGCCTTCCGTCTTGTCTTTGCATGGGTTGGGAAGCCCGTGAAGATGCAATAATCTGACTATTCCGGACGGAAGTGGTTTCTTTTTGTACATGTAGCCTTTGATATACGTCTCCAAAAGACCCTTGGCGGCGTCTACACGAAATTTTCCACCGAATACCATGAGGGATTATGTTCCGAGCAGTACGCATACCTTGCAGCACACCAACTGGAATAGACGTCGCGGCCCACCACTTTTGTGAACCATTGGTTGTGAGGGGTTCGGTCCAATGTGACAAATAGTGGCCTGCCAAGTACACTGCCGCGGCAGTGATCACGCGAGGCTCGAACCGCAAGCACAAGCAAGTATTCGAGCTATCGTTCAGAAAGCTCCATGCTGCTCGCTTCAACTCCATCGCCGTGTCAGTAGATACATCCATGTGCGTAAGGCCGAGAGACACAAATTCGTTTACGTAGCCGTGCGGATGGACGACGCCCAAATCGTACGCAAGGACGTGCAGGACAATGCATTCGGTGAAGAGCAGTTCATCAGTTTGGGCTTGGACAGTCGGAGGAGTCGCAGATTCCACTGGAAACACACCATCGCCGCACGCTTTTTTCGCATCGTGGCTTAATTTCCTTCGGTAAGCCAGGTAATGCTTGGAGAAATCCACCGCTTTCATGTAATGCTCTTCGACTTTTGCTGCCAAGAACAAGCACGTGGCGGCAATTAGCCACGCGTCTTGCCGCTTGAACGACTGGACTACATAGAACCTACATAATCAATGCAGCTCCATCAAGTAGGCACTACAGGATACGCACCGGTGGAAGAAAACCTTGGCACTAGCAACAGAGAGCTTTGGCAGTCGAAACACTGCGGCCAATCGTTCAATCAATTCGCAGCCCTTAAACCTGTAAATGTCAATGGACTGCTGCGAGATCCCATCCTGGAACGACGGACACTCCTTGATCTCTGTTTCCGAGAAGTTCCACATGTACGAACGCCAGGAAGGACGCGGCGCTGGTGGTGTCGATGGGTGGGTGTGGCAACCTCCTCACAGTCGGCCCCACAGACGTACAGAATGCATATCGAGCGTTATCCGGATATCGTTCAAATTCAGAATCCAATAAATGAAAACTCGTTGTCGATTTCGGTCAATCCGAGCAGAGTCGATGAAGCGCGCGCATCGGTCCGTGGTGCTGCTACTTCAAAGCATGCTTGGCATGGACGTCAAGATCGAGTTAAAGACTGAATACACACTCGAAGGTCGAGTAGAAGAAGTAGGTGAAGGAAACATGGAGTACGTCGGCTGTGCCTCCTGTCACCAACAACGTAACCTACGCATCATGTTATACTAGTGTTCGCCTCACGGGTGTCAAACAAACTTCACCACAGGTTCTGGATCACACGACTTTTCATTCCGAACTCAGTTATTCATGCGAAGGGAGCGATTGTACACCTCGACGAAGTGTTTGTGATGGGGAAAATGATCTTGTTTGTGCACTTGCCAGACAGGTAGTCGGGTGCTTTGCTCGTCTGGAGTTCATCACGTGACGACTCGACTAGGCTGAACGTTGCTGCTCATTTACGAGACTACGTACGTCTGTCTGCTCTGGACAACTTGATGCTCACCACTCGCTCCTACCTTTCCAGATGCATTTGGTGGACAAAAACAAGAACTTGTACCAGCGATCCACGCGAAAACCCCCGACCAAGCCACTTGTCGCCACATCTCGTGCATAATACGCAATCCACGTCTTGACGTCTCCAGTTGCTGTAGCTGACTTCTGTAATGCTGTTCATCATCGCTAACAATGACCATAGTATCTTGTGTGTGGAAACACTTCATTCGATCGCTTCGACAAGGCACTTCACGCATGTAAGACAATATGCTGAGCTGTTCCAGGCCGTCTGGACTCACCGCGGCGGCATTGCACCCATCTATTCGTGTGGATCGTGCCGCCAGCCACATCGGCCACAGCGCTCTCCCCGTCAAGGCGAAATATCGAACCCATATCCGACGGCGGGTGGTTCGACCAATCAGATTGTCGAAAGGATCAACTCGTGTTGAGACCTGGCAGATCCCGCGCTCGCGTCGGATATCCATTCCGACCGTGAACCGCCAGGACGGCCCGACGATGACCGACATATTTTGGTTCAATGTGTCCACATGCGTGCTGCTGCTGGTCTTGACCATCGTCTTTTCGCTACTTCCGCTCTTTATGAGTGCTGCATCGACCGAATCGTTCTGGCACAAGGTCATGCAAGAGAAGCTCCCATTCGTCACGGCAGGCGTGTTCTTGAGCACGGGAATGATTCATCTGCTCCCAGATGCGGTCAAGTTGTACAGTTCGTACAACGAAATGGTCGACGGCCCAGACGAACCATATCCGTTGATCTATTTCCTCGCGTGTATGGGATGTTTCCTTGTCTGGTCGGTCGACTCCCTCAACCTCGGTGACTCGGGCAAAATGATGGCGGTCGCCGCAGCCGCGAAACCAAATTGTACGTCATATCTGCATACTGTGTATACTTACTGACATGAATACACTAGTTGAAACCAGCATTTGCAGGATCCACGTACCCCCCATCACTTCGTACGGCATCCAGAGGCGCACCCGCACGTATTCTGCATCGGACGCGTTCCACCTGACGAAGTCGCATGAACATGAATTCCAGCATAAGTCAGCGCTGGAACAACTCGGAAGTTCGTGAAATTGCATGTGGTTTCGTCCCACATGATTCACGACCTTACTCTCCTTCCAGGACATGCCGCAGTCGACTATGGAACGTGTTCATGCGACCACACCAAACTTGAAGACTCGGCAATGATCCAGCGCACGAAAGAATTCACCGAAGTGGATGTTTTGCTGGCTGGGAACAAAGTGCGGATGCCAGACTCCTTCCAAATAAGCTAACGTGTGTCCAGTGTGCTGTCGACGTAGACAAGCGAGATCAGTGCGTCTCGGATCCTCACGTCCATGCGCATGTTAGCGGCAGCGTGAGCGAACACATCGTATTTTCTGGGGAAAGGTGCTTGAACGCCTGCACTTCGAATGAGGGTTTCATGCGTCGTTTTGATTAGTGGAGTGCTGCCGTACTTACTGGCCGCACTTTTTTCGCTCCATTCGCTTATTGCAGGATTCACGCTTGGCATGAATGCCAACTTGACCTCCACTGCGTTGGCCACTGCCGTTGCAATTGTTAGCCACAAGGTGGGTGGGTATTCCTTGCACAGTGGCTTCGTCAAGGTCCTGACGTTTCGCAGTTTATTGAAGCCGTCTCGGTCGGGTCCAACTTTGCCAAGGCCCGCACCACCGTCAACTCCCAGCGTTCTATCGCGGTCTTGGTCACGTACAGTTTTATGACACCACTGGGTATTGTGTCCGGCATGTTTCTATCGGCCACTCTACAAGGGCCGTCGGCGGTGTTGGCACAAGCCATCGCGCTTGGCATTGGGTCTGGCAGCTTTATTTACCTCGCGTTCCACGAAGTGTCCGAGGAAGACGCCGTCCAAGCGGCAACGACGACGGAAAAGTTATCTCTCTTTCTCACGGGGCTGTCCATCATGGCCGCGTTAGCCGCGTTGGTTTAGAAAAACCCAATGAAAAACAAAAAAATCAATAATGTTTATTGAATCAAGTAGCAACATCGTCGCCCTTCCAATGCATGAAAAGTAAGAGGGCACATTCGGTTGGGCTTAGATGAGATCGGCCACGTTCATGGGCATTTCGTCGATTTGGGTGCTGTAAAACTGCTCAATGTCGCGGAGAATGCGAATGTCGTCGTCTTTGACAAAGTTGATGGCCACACCCTTGCGCCCAAAGCGCCCCGATCGACCGATTCTAACCGATGTCATCAACACCAATATCAAACTATTCGCCACGTACCTGTGGATGTACAATTCGCGGTTGCTAGGCAAGTCGTAGCAAATTACCAACGATACTTGTTGCACATCCAACCCACGACCCCAAATGTCCGTCGTGATCAGCACGCGGGACCCGCCTGAGCGGAACTCCTGCATGATCGCGTCACGTTCGTTCTGCGGCATGTCTCCGTGCATCGATGCGACGGTGAAGTTAGCTTCGCGCATCTTGTTCGTAAGCCAGTCGACTTTTCGCCGAGTGTTGCAAAAGATCACGGCTTGCGTGATGGTAAGGGTGTCGTACAAATCGCACAACGTGTCAAACTTCCACTCTTCTTTCTCGACAGCGACAAAGAACTGCTTGATCCCTTCCAATGTTAACTCATCGCGCTTCACCAACACCTTGACGGGTTCATTCATGAACTTCTTGGTCATTTCGAGTACTTCTGCGGGAAGGGTTGCACTAATGAGCAAGACTTGCGTGGACGGCGGCAAGTATCTGCATCCGACATGACTTTAGAGCGGTACTCGCAGAATGAGCAAGAACGAACCTGTAAATATCGTAGATTTGTTCCTTGAACCCCTTGCTCAACATTTCATCGGCTTCATCGATGACGAGCATCTTGATGTTTCGAGTACGCAAATTCCGTCGGCGGATCATGTCAAACACACGACCGGGCGTGCCACTGACTACCTGCAGACAAATGTCTAGCCAATGTTGGACGACGACGGGGAGCATACCTGGACGCCAAAATCAAGTCTACGAATGTCTTCACCAATTGACTTCCCGCCAATGCAAGCATGGCACTGCACGTTCATGTAGTCTCCTAGTGCCAGGAGCACTTTTTGGGTCTGTTCAGCCAATTCGCGAGTAGGACTGAGGGCCAACGCTTGCGTTTCATTGCTGGCACAGTCGAGCGTTTGGAGGATTGAGATGGAAAACACAGCCGTTTTACCGGTACCAGACTGCGACTGCGCGATGAGGTCGCGCCCTTGAATTGCTGGACGGATTGCGCGCTGTTGAATGGCCGACGGCTTTTCAAATCCGTAGGCATAGATTCCACGAAGCAAATCTTCCTTCAATCCCATTGCTTCAAATGTTGGCACAACATCCAGGCCGTCCGTCGTAGTGAACTCAATTTGCTTTCCTTCCAGCAACTCCTTCCCTTCACGGTCACGGTCGGTTCTTTCACGTCGAACAACACGCTCGCTTCCTCGATCTTCACGTCCCATGCTTCTCGGGTGCTAGTATGGAATGGGTGGAAGGTTATCACACGTTCCAATAGTGCCTTCGTATGCGTATCCGGATGAAGCCATGTTTTTTAGAAGGACGCTTATCCGGGATTCTGTGGACTTCTCGTTTGCGGCAACCACAAACTGCTCTGATACTTCAGTAGTAGTAATTTAGCATACTAGAGAGCTCTAAGTTTTAGTAATACTACGTCATGTATGGATTTCGGGATCGTTGATTGGACAACAGCAGCACCATTAACCAATCAGATCAATTGGAGTAACATTCAAGTAGCATACAAAATACTAGTATATTCTCATGCTTCTTGCGTTCTTTGGCGCAATTTTTGTGTCATGGAGCAAACACTGCATTCGCGGTGCCTCCTCATTCAAGAAGCGGAACTCTGCGTTGACGAGCGAGGAAGAAAAAGTAAGGTGGCAAGAACTCCGATGTCATGACAATGGACGAAGCTCTGCATCATGTTGGAAAGCGTCCTCGATAACATCGCAGCAGGCTCACAACACTATGCTCTCTTCTTCAACAACTCATAATCCATGCGTTTCACTCTCAGTTCATCGACTGAAGATCCATTGTGCTGCTGTAGTCAACGTGTCGGTATTTGAAAACTACGTTGGAGCTATAGTTGATGACATTGTTTCGTGGGTACATTGGGATTTCACCCAATTTTGTATGCTACGTCGTGAATGGAGTACCTTACATGAATGTTTTGCGCAAAAGAACGACGCTGCGTTGCATGCCTCGAGAAAAATAGCCCGTCCATTCGACCGTGGAAGTATGTCAATCTGTGCAACGGGCATCAGAAGCATTGCACCAAGAGCGTTCTCATTTGCAAGACTTATGCCAAATAACAGTTTGTCTTCAACGATGTCAACTTGGTCCCATTCAATTCATCGTCCGAGGTATTGTCGATTATCGACGTTGGCTAAAAATTTCAGGGCGAATGAAGTAGTGCTTGGTCGTGAAAACCGTGTATTGCGCTGTTTCGAAGCATAGTGACCTTGGTGGTCTCTATAACATTCAACAAATGAAAATTCAAAAATGGCTGATGCGAAAGTGCATAATGGACTTCAAGCGTGGCGAAACTTTCAGCATACCAGCGATAGGGTTTTGAAAAATGTGCCCCCTGAAAATTGCTCTAAGTATTCCTACGACTTGAATCGCCCGCGAACACGATTGTCAGCGAAGCAACAAACCCAACGTGTTCAGAGCCACAGCAAAGCGCCGCACCCATCAACGCCAATTGGTTGGGTATCCGTGCTCGAGCTGTCCGAAGCTATGTGTACCAAATTGGCTGTCCGTACGCGTCTCATGTACCCTAGAGATGGATTGGGGATTATTGCCTGTCAATAGACCCAAGAATGACTCGCTTTCTCCAATCATATCAGGCCAGAGACACGTCAAGAAATCTACGAGCGCTGCCACAAAGTTCTGACCCGCCCCTTCCATAAGTACGGTCGAAGTGTTTCTTAGTGTTTCACCACGTCTTCAGCACTCTCGCCGAACATGGTGGAGTTGTTCTTGGTTTCGATAATTCAGCTGATGCTTCTCGAATTTTGGTGAGCTGCAAAATAGGAGGATTGCGCGACATGGAGTGCCAATTGTTTCCAGCGACAAATTTGATAAAGTTCAAGCGGTTTGAGCAATGATTGAAATTTCCCCTTTCAAGCCTTTTGTGTTCGATGGTGTTGTGCCGTTTCTTGGATATACGTGTACTGGTGCGCAGAAGCTGGTCTTAAATTTCGGTGACGAGTCAAAGACGTGTCCATCCCTTGCAACAAAAGGTCTCCAAAGAATAACACAAGCTGAAACGCTGACTCTCCCACCACGTGGATTTATATTGCAAGCATTGGGAGCAACAAGAACAGGCTAAATACTTTAGGCGTTGCTTGTTGAACTAGCGTAACACGAATGGCTACGATTCGATGCGATGTAGGCCGCTTGCGGAAATGCTGATGTTTTTGATATTGCAACGAAGGACCACTTCGTCCGCTATGGAATCGCTACACTGAACGAAACGTGCTACAATAAAAATG